TCCATCTTTACTGTTCATATCACACACACATCTTTACTGTACATATATATAGTACAAAGATCGAAGACATACCATATTTACATCTTATATCTAAGAAAAGTTTCATCTAAACACTACGAAGTTGAGTCTAAATTCATTGACAACCCCTATAACAATAATTTTTGTCTCTATCAGTAGATAAAATAATGATTTAACTAAATATTTTGTGAAAAATACTAAAATTACCCTTTATTTTGTAAATAGACTGAAATGTCATCAATTCTTTTCCTATTATATATGCACTAGTCAGTTAACAAACGTGATTTTGATCATTATATTATCCCAATAAATTTTTTATTTTAAAACATAGTATGATAACTTTGTTATAATATTAGTTATCATATTATCACTCATTTGATTACATAATTAAGTTTTTCTAATTTTATATTTTTTTATAATAAAAATTACAATTAATAAAGTTAATGTCAAAATCTCATTAATTTCTAATTCTTCTGCTATCATATGTCCTCCACAACGTCGCCCTACCATTCCTCACACATCATACTTCATATATAAAATTTAAAATTATTTGATAAAATTTTATATTAATTGAATAAATTTGATCTTAATTTTGATAAATTTAAATATTAATTTATTTTTAATTTGATAAAATTAAATATTAATTTAGTATTAATTTGATTGAATTTAATGTTAATTGACTAAATTTGAATATTTTTTTAATAAAATTGAATGTTCATTTGTTGTTAAATTAAAGAAATGACATTAACTTGATAAGGTTAAATTTTAAATTAATGGAATTTAATATTCTATTTAATAAATTAAATAGTTTAATTTAATAAAATTGAATTTCAATTTGATGTTGATTTGATAAAAATAAATAATAACTTAATATTAAATTAAAGAAATAATATTAATTTGATGAAATGAAATATTAAATTAATATAACTAAATGCTAATTTGATAAAATTAAATATCAATTTTGTGTTGATTTGAATATTTGATTAGATGAAATGTTAATTTAGTTTAAGTTACATAAAGAAAATTAATTTGATAATACTGAATATTAAATTGATCAAAATAAAGGCTAGTATAATAGAACTAAAAGAGATTGCATTGAAATTTCAGAATCAAGAGAGGGTGTTGTTAAAGTTAGGTTTATTTATAGGTGGTGTTTGTTAAAGTTAGATTTATTTATATGGAGTGTGGATAAAATTTACCCTACAAAATGCTCGAAAATATTTCTATAAATCAACCATCACTATTAACAGTATAGCTCCACAATCACTAACAAGGAGTGACATTGAAATTTTAAAATCAGAAGGAGGTATAATTAAATTTAGACCTAACTACAGGGGGTTTAGATGAAATTTTCTCTTATATCTATACAAATCTATATAATAAAACATATAGGAAGTTGAATATTATCCCTTATACAGTCCCTCCCTCCAAAAATATCACATTACTCATTTCTATCACATGTTCAACCATTTAATATTTGATTAATTTGTAATTTAACATAATTTTTATTTTAGATATTATCTATATACGATAGTATAGATGTGTTAAAAAAATTTATCGAATTACATATTTTGAAAAAAATTTGTCAATATTTTCAAGAAAATAATAGGTAAAAATAAATTTTGAATAATTTAATCAAATAAATGAAGGAAAGAAAAAATATTATTTAATATAGTGATATCGATTTTTTAGGATTCGAATTTTTTGTTCTATCGTGCCTTCAGGCACGGGTTATGAATAGTATTTTTATATGTATAATGTACACCACTTGACTCTGCCACGCCAGAACAAACTTTCTCCAATCTACTACCTTTTTAGTATTTTTAGAATCACAAAATAAAAAAAGTGGGTAAAGTAATGACCGCCAAAATGTTATGAACCGTTAAACCAAATGCCATTCAATTGAGGCATGTGGGTCCACCATTAGTGAACCAGCCCCACCATGGTGGGTGGGACAGGGGCCACTAGTGAAATTGGGCATGTCCGAGGCCACAGCACGCGACGGTGTCCTTTATACAATGCTTGGGTCCACAACTAGCAGCCAGTTCCCCCATTACAATTGGAGCAGAGAAGAGGGAGGAAAAAAATTTACGGATTCGCATTTTTGAATCTATATAATAAAATATCTTATAATTCAAATTTTAAAATAAATAAAATAATTTTTACTAATTATAGTTGAGATCGTTTTAAATTTTAATTTAAAGTTAATTTAACGGCTAATATTAACATCCTAAATTTAATAAGAAAAATATTAACATCCCACCACTATCGCCATCGCCACCACCACTGCTATCACCACCACCACCATCACTATCGCCACTATTGCCGCCGCCACCATCATCGCCACCACAGCCACAGCCACCGCCACCGCCACCGCTACCGCCAACACCACCACCCGCCCCCACCACCAACCCTGTCGCCACCACCACCACCCCCGTTGTTACCATCGTCGTCGCCGTCGCCGTAACCACCACCACCACCATCACTACCATTGCCCACCCACCACAACCATCATCGTCTTCTACCATCACCATTGCCGCTCACCACCTCTCATCCCCATTACTAACTAATGCTTAAATTATTTTATTTCTTCTTTATGTTTGTGATTTGATTTTGGATATAAATACAAATATATTTATTATTTATCATTTTTTATTACTCTGTACCTATGATCAGATCTGAATTATTTATATAAATATTAAAAAATAAGTGATTATTTAAAATAATTTAGCTAAAATTTAGGTATAATTTGTTAAAATTTAGTTAATTAAGTTATTTGGATCAGATCAAATTTTTGGGTTGAATTTTGAATTATTAATGGATTTAGATATGGACCACAAAATTTCGTCAGATTAATAGATTGAATTCGGATCGGGCTTTTGAAATCGAATTTAAATTTGGATCAGTCAAGATTCAATCCAAACCTAATCCGTTGACAGACTTACTCGCGACTTAAGATCCAACAACTTCAATACCACGAAAAATTATAAGTGCTACAGTGCCCAGTTTTTTTTTTTTTAATACCCAAGTCAAACCCATTAGTTTTAACTCAAGCTTCTCCTTTATGTTACTTGAAGGATGTGTGAATTTGCAAGTTTAGTTGAGAACTTGAGACTACATTTGAAGCCCACTAAAATATCAATTGGGCCTAATTGGTCCATCAAAAACTGGACCTCATTGGTCCAAGCATAGAACTAAACTAGCCCAATGTAACAGTCTATATATTTGAAGCCCACTCGGCAGCTGAAGCCTTCTTGAAAATCTCTCTCTCTCTGTGTGTTTGTGTCTGTAAGTATGTGTGCGTATGTGTAGATTTAGTTCCTGAACAATTGTGTTAAGAGGATTGTTTTCTTCGATACATTAGTAGTCTAGGTGTTCGACAGAATTACTCAACCATATTATGCTGTGTCAGTGTCTGGATATGGCAATGATATAAAATTTGGGATTGGGAGCATTGTTTATTGTTAGCTTTTGCTAAGCTGTATTACTATTGCATACACGCATACACGCACAAAGTGCTCTTTAGGAGAAATGAGAGGATTTTTGCCAACACCAAGTGCGTACCCTAACCATCCAACCGCTATTCCATCTCGTTTATCCATTGAGCATGCCCTGAATAATCGCGGGCTCCTGTCATTACGGGGTTTGGCGTGGGTTAGATGTACGCATCCTTATCCAGTTGTTTCCGTGACTTGAATCGTGACCTCCAGGAGCAACCTTAGCGTTGTGCCACTGCTTACTGAAATTTGCACCCATTCATGTATTCTGTTGTTTTTTCTTGTTATGACTTGAATCAGTGTCAATTGAATACTTTAAATTGTTTGGGTTTGCGAACTAAGGGTCATTGTTTCCAATAGAAGCTGTCCAATTTGGCTTTTGAGCATTCCCTCTTGACATGTTTCAAGGAAAGCCTTGAGATCCCTCATGAGAGTTTGAGGCTTAAGTTGATTGGGGTTTATGTTAGATGTAGATACTCATAAATTACACAACTCATGGTGTTTCTTTTCTAATTGATTTCATGAGTTACTTTTGACTAGAGATATGTTTTGTCAGTTGACCAATTTAGAGTACTAATAAAACGTCACAGTTAATGAGTTTGGACCCAACAGAAGTTTAAATAATGTTATATCAACCTGAGTGCACTAGTTTGTTATCTCCCAACTGAACGATGCAATGAGGACGGTTGTATGTTTCTTAATGTAATTGTAGTCGTGAATAATCCTGAATTACTTACGCTAGTAAATTATTTAGAGAATGTATATATATATATAGGCTGATCTGTATAGGTAAAGGTAGAAATAAAATTTATGCCTTCTCTTGGACAGGATTGTACATGATAAATTTTGTAAAATGTAACAAGGTTTTGGTTTGTTGCATCGCAAATTATCCCATATGGTTGGCATGGTGTATACTTGTAAAGAAAAGAAAAGATCAACATTGTTAGTGGAAATCTACAATGTCCACCCATTCTGCTTTAAATTCTGACTTCTGGGACTTACTTTTAGAAGATACCAGTGATCCTTAAAGCATTAATAGAAATAGACTGAGAATGTTTAGTTTTCTAATGCCCTCCAAATGCCCCCATGCGAAGAGGACAAAAACTAAGAGAATATACATATTGACTTCTCTTTCTTTGTCACTCGTGTATTTGAGTAGATATGGGATCTTATACAGACATTATAAGCCAGTTTTGGGAATTCTCCCAAAAAATTGTTTATTTTGCTTTTTGTGGTATCAAGAATCTAGAATCGGCCCATTTATTATAATCAATTATCTGTGTTTCCTCAGTCAGTTAATTGTTAGACCAATAAATTTTGGTGACATGATTATTGATATATTAGATCTATGTTTGCATTGCAGGGCAATCGTATAAGTGTTTGATTGTCGCTGATGTTCTTAAGATCAGAAGTCATTGTAAACAACAATTACGCTACCATGTTTTCTCTGTTAAGTTGATCTTCAATGTTTTTCTGAGTTGACTAATGGATGATGCAATGTTATCAGAGTCTCCTTTGCCAGATGATATCCTCCAGCCACTGCTTACTGCTTCAAGCTCATCTATCATTGATAAATCCCTAGAGCATCTCATTCAAATTGCCAGAGATGCTGATGGCCACTCAGACCTTGCTTCCAAGAATATTTTAAATGCAGTTCTTCAGCTCTGTCATGTTGGTTTTTTTTATGGAGTCTAGTTTGTATATGTGATCCGGATGATGACCCGATCTAAAGTAATGTTGTGTGGTTTTTAATGAAAAATTTTCTGAGGCTTAGTCCATAGAGCGAAGGCTTGGGCTGATAGGCCCAAGCCGTAGCGCTCATGGACAAGTCTTGTGGGGGTTCGGGGGCAACGCCCCCGAGGAAAATTTTTTGGGCCCGTTATACAGCCCAGTGCGTAGGACATATAAACCCTGTTGTTTTGGTGATTAGGTTTTGTAGTGGATCGTACAGCCGCTCTCTGTAATTCAACTCTCTCAATAGTGAAATCTCTGCAGCTTCGTGGACGTAGGCAAATTGCCGAACCACGTAAAATCTGTGTCTTGTTCTTTCTTGTTTCTTATTGCTTTATATTCTTGATTTGTTCTTTGATTGTGTGTGTTTGTTAGTAGATTTAAATCGAGTTAAATCCCAACATGTCAAACTCTTTCCTACCATTCTGATCTGTGGAGTTATGTACTGATAAAGAGCTGTATATTGTGGCTGAGATCACACAAACTGCCTCAGCAGGTAATTGCCATTGCTTTTACTTGTGTTTTGTGTAAATTGTTTAAATATTAGTGAATTAACATATACCCTAAATGCTTTCCCCATTGCATTTTGAGTTTTGCTTGTTGGTTTCCGTGGAGATTGTTTGAAGTTGCTTATTTTAAGGATTTGTCTTGAAGAATTCACTTCTTGCCGCTGTTCTCTAAATTATGTACTATATGTACTTCTGGAAACATTGATTATTATACGTCTGGGGTTGATCATTTTGCACTTGAGCAAGCATTTTTGTTGAGTAGCGTATCACAGATCTTGTAGGACCGTATCAGACATCTTACTGTTTCCAATGTGTTTGCTGCATTTGTTCTTGGAATATTTAGAAGTGCTGTTGGGGATATTAATTTTGTCCCAAGAGGGAAGTCAGGTCTTCCAACAGGATCCACTGCTATTGATGCTCTTGGATACTTGATCACCATTTTGAGAGATATCCGTGCAACTGATGGTATAGGAGGTTTCAAGGAGGAGGGTACAGAGGGTGTTGTTGATTTGCAGTCCTCAGGACTTCTGGAACTTCTTTTAAGTTTGATCCTTGAACTTGAGCCTCCAGAAATAATTAGGAAAGCAATGAAACTGAGCGACAACAAAGAAGGATCAAGTCCTTATTAGTCTGGAAAGGACCTTGAAAAAACAAAATATATACCCAAGCTTTGTCCTTACAAAGGGTTTCGGAGAGACCTTGTTGCAGTCATTGGCAATTGTGCATACCAAAGGAAACATGTCCAAGATGAAATTGGACAAAAGAATGCAATTCTTTTGATATTACAACAGTGTGTTACTGATGAAGACACTCCATTTTTAATGGAGTGGGGCATCTGCTCAGTCAGGAATATGCTAGAAGGCAATATAGAAAACCAGTAAGTAGTAAGTGACTTGGAGCTTCAAGGATCTGTAGATGTGCCTGAAATTGTTGGACTTGGTCTTTGAGTGGAGGTAGATCAGAAAACTCGTTGTGCAAAGCTTGTAAATGTATAATGAAGGTGTCTCCTGCTTGAATCAAAATTTTCCCAACATGGACTTAGGTACCGAGTGTTCACACCTTTTATCAAACTATTGATGCAGAAAGTCGTGTTGGCATTTCAGGTGAGTAATGAGAAAATTTTGTAAAATCCATATGACTGTTCCTTAATGAGGCAATCATGCTGCACAACTGCATATAAAGATGTGCAGACACAAAATGGTACATCTCATTTTTCATGCACGGGCCACTTCATTCCTATGTGCATGTCTACAGTACACTAAACACATTAGTTTTCTTCTGGACTATAAACAACTATTGGACTCTTTACAATGTTACGAGTGCTTCTCCATATGAGTGAACCTGATATCATTTGTCCACTTGCCATGGGTTTTGCTTTGACAATCACCTTGAAGCTCCCCTTTTGCAGGGCAGGAGAGAATGTGAGACTGGCAGGCTTCACAGTAATCTCCACTCCTTTTGGTGCTTTAATGGTGGCATTGTAGATGGATTGAGGTGTGGCTACATTAGTAACTGTCCTTTGGAAAACACCTACTGTCGGCTCTTGATCACTCTTCATGTGAAGCTGCATGGTGGGATAGTTGATAGCATCTACGCCAAGCCCCGGAAGCAATGCTGAACAATTTACTGATTTCTCAGAAATTAAAACAGCTATTGAAGATTCCTTGTACCCTTCATGGCATAGGAACTGGATATAAGACATTTCATCCATGTCATAGATTAATCCTGGGTTCACTGCTTTTCTTGGGTTCAGTTGACCAGCACCATACCCAAATTCAGCGTCATGGTTCACCCTCGAGCTCATAGGTGTTGCTTTGGTAGAGATTTACGAGATATTGTAAAGAAAGAATTTGAGCAAATTAGACAATAGAAAAAAAAAAAAAGGGCAACTTCAGCAAGAAGTCATGGTCTTGGTTAAGTTGCTTTGAAGCACGAAGTGTGCATGTAGGTTTGTAATTAAAGGGCAGTATAGTGCAACAGACTCCTGCCACTACGGGGAGGGAGTCAGATGTACCCAGCCTTGGCTATGCATATGGAGAGACTATTTTTGTGACTCAAACCTGTGATATTCAGGCGATAGTGGAGCAAATTCACCATGTTTCCAAGAACTGAGTCCAAGCTAATTAAGATTGAGATCAAGGAGAAGTTATTCCGGTTTTACCTGAAGTCATAATTGCAGATTTGATAGCAGCAGGAGTCCAAGTCGGATGGAATGACTTCACATAGGCAGCTACCCCAGCAACGTGTGGACAGGCCATGGAAGTACCAGACATAAGTGTAAAGTCTGAATATTGGGTATCACCTTTCAACCCGGTTAGTGATTGCAGAGGGGTGTATGATGCCAAGATGTCAATGCCGGGTGCTACAATATCAGGCTGTTTCATAGTTTATCAGGAATCAGGAAACAGGTTCATTTGAGTAGCAGGCCTTATGATCACGATGAACTCAAACCCTGTAATACATACCTTGAGAAGGTTTTTAGATCCTGGATTTGGACCTCGAGATGAAAATGAAGCAGTAAATGGAGCTGGGATTTTGACTTCTTGGGACTTATATATCACCGCTGATGGTGATCTGCATTGATCAGGTAAAAGTCATTCATTTTTTGAATCCAAACGGTATTGTCAAGCTGTTTTTTTGATGTAGTGCTGATCTTTCAATATAGCAGCCTAAATTGACAGTACCTTACTGAGTGTATATAGCTGTCAATGATTTTGCCTGTGCTGGTATTCACCATGGTTGCCGGAGCCATGTAAATTTGGGCAACATCAAGAAACACCTCACTTTCAATGATGGTGCCGATCCCTCCAAGACCTTTAATGACAGAATCAGCACCCCATGAAGCTAGCTTGCAGTGGACAAGCTTTCCTTTCACCTTCTTAGGGTCCATTGTGTTTTCAAGACAATAACTGCGGAAAAACAGTGTAATGATCTTCAAACATTTGCTTCACACAGTTTTTTACTTTTGTCAAATGTCTGATGAAAGAATGAGGGATCAATTACTGTATTACCGTGGTTTTTTTATTTTTTCATGTGAGGTTTAAACTCTTTTTTGATAATAAAGACGTGTTTTACAAGACTCCCTTGAAGTAGAAAGTCGAGAAACTGTGTACATTGAAAAACGTGAATTTAAACTACGTTTTCATGTAAATACCGACCAATTAGAAAGTAAGTTAGAAATCACCAATACAGGGAATAAAGTGAGTCTTCAGTAAGTAATTGAAGAAATAGGGTTAATGTTGTTGAAACCATTATCAAATGCTTGCTGAAAATATTAGAACCTGGCACTGTCCTTGCTTGCTGAAGCCTGGGCTACATCAGCCCCTGTAACAAGAGGATATGAGATTTGCTTTGGATCAAAAGCATTCATTCCAATTCCCTGCACAATATATATATATATATATATATATATATATATATATATATATATATATATATATTGAGATTAATTCAATCTTAATCTAACAATATAAAATTCATTCTCAATTTTAATCTCAATCTAATCTAACAATATAAAATTCATTCTCAATTTTTTCACCACACACAACTAACGTCAAATAATTCAATCAACATACTCCTTTAATGACAAAAAATTCTACTAAAAATATTGGGTGTAATCGTTACACCAGGTTAATAGTACCGCGTGATGTAATGGTTCACTAATAGATAAACAAATCCGTAAATGAGCTCCACTAAAACTCATAAACACTTAGTCATGTCATATAGAATCACATCCATAATAGAAAATGGGCCTTATTTTATCTTTTTTTTTTATTGAATGTTTACACTATGTCACCAAATTACACCCAATATTTACTCCACTAATTCGCACCCATCCTTTTCTTCTTTCTTTCCTCTCCTATCTCTTGCTTATTTTTTGTTATGTTCACTTTAATCTTGAATTAAGTAATAAAATAAAAATTTATATAATAAAGTAGCTTCCAATTCAAATTTTAAAAGATAAACAAAATGATTTTTACTATTCACAGTTGAGATCGCTTTAAATTTTATTTTAAAATTAATCTTAGAGTTAATATTAACACCTTAAATTTAATAGGAAAAATATAGCTCAAAGGGTGTGTTTGAAGTAGCTTTTTAAAAGTATTTTTAAAAATTATTTTTCATAAATACTTTTAAAAAAAATAGCACCACCACCACCACCACCACTGCCGCCACCATCACCATCACCTTTGTCACTGTCACCACCCCCACCGCCCCTGCCACCCCCACCATAACCATCGTCACCACCACCACCATCACCATCGTAGCCACCACGGCCACCTTCACCATTGCCTCCGCCATCACCATCACCAACGCTACCGCCACCATCGCCGCCATTATGGTTATTGCAATTCACCACAATTATCACTGTCTCCTACCACCACCATTGTCGCGCACTACCTCTCACCCCTACTATAAATCGATGTTTAAATTCTTTTATCTTTTCTCTATGTTTGTAATTTGATTTTGTATATGAATACAAATATATTTATTGTTTATTATTTTTTATTACTCTGTGCTTTCAAACACAAATAATAATTAGTTTAATTATAAAATATAAATATTATATAATTAATATTTAGTTTTTATATTACAGAGTGTATTTAGTCATGAGATTATTGTTAATATACTATATGAGAGAGAGAAAGAGAGAGAGAGAGACCGAGAAGATTTGGCGGTTGCCGAGCACGACTTTACCCCTAAAGCCCCGATCAATACCACTCGCACCCACAGTCAATATCCAAGGCGCATGGTTCTCCACACTCCGCAGAGTAGGTCCATCATTTCCGGCGGAAGCCACCGTAATAATCCCTTTTTTCATTGCGTGAAACGCTCCGATCGCAATCGGATCATCCGCATAACTCCCCAAAAAACCACCAATCGAGATGGAGATCACATCAACGCCGTCGTGAATTGCTTCATCGAACGCCGCAAGAACGTCCATGCCTGAGCAGCCTGAGCTGGCCCAACACACCTTGTACATCGCCACCCTGGCCGACGGCACAGCCCCACGCGCCTTCCCTCTGGCGAGACCAAAGAGGTTTGCGTTTGGAACTATGGTTCCGGCTAGGGTTGATGATGTATGAGTGCCATGGCCGTCGACATCCACCGGTGAGAGTATGTCGTTCGGGTCTGGGATTTGGTCTAGTTTGAAGTATTTGGCGCCAATGAGTTTCCTGTAAAAACACAAACATGGTGGCAATAGAGAAAGGACATTGAAATGAGGGAAGTGACTAGTGTGAGATTGTACCTGTTGCATCCTGAAAAATTCGCAAAATGAGCACAACTTCCTTTCCATCTGGATGGTATGGGATCAAGTCCATCATCTTTAAAACTATCTGATTGTGGAGTGATCCCTTCAGGCATATGAACAACAAAATTAGTTCATATGTATGAACTTTTGTACGTACGTTTATTATACTACATATTGTATGATCGAGGCTTGGACATTACAATAGGTATCGATAGTATTGACTTCGCTTTGTGAAATGTTTGATAAGTATAAACTTTTGTACGTATATTTTTCATACAGTGTGTAGATCTAACTCAAAACAAATAATATTATACGATATAAGTCGAGAATATTACGAGAACCAAAAAAGAAAGCAAACCTGTATCGAATAAACCAACAATGATGTTGCTCTCCACTTTCAAATTTCTTCTAGCTGTTTGAGTTAACCCAATAAATTTCCATGATTTTGTGGTATGTAGTTTGTGATACTGATTTGGAAAAACAGAAAGCACTCCATCCATACCTGGACATGCACCTCAGTATATGATCACTAAATTCATACACGTTTGAGAAAAGTTTCGAAAACATAATGTACGAAGATAAAAAAGTTAAAAAATATCAATTCTGAAGCATTCCGAAACAGGGGTATTTCGTTTTCTCATCATTGATTCCTTTAGATTCCCATCAAAACCGAAACGTTTTGGTATTATTGGATGAGTTATATACATACTGGATAGCTTCTTGGCTTCATCTTCAGACAGCTTTGCTGCAAATGCATTGAAGCTTTTCGTATAGCTATAAACGTGGGACTCCTTAGCATCAACCTCACTGAATTTTCATCCAACACAACATATCAAAAACCTCTCTTGCAGGCATGAATTCATTGATCAATTGAGTGAGAAAAAAATAAAAACAGAACACATACATATGTGTGTGTGTGTGTATAACTCCGTTAAGTATTTTACTCAACGCTCTTTGTCCCAAGTGAGGATCAAGGAGAAGGGTTGCGTTAGGTAGCCAACAGCCAACACAAATTTTTTCAAATCCTCTATATATATGTGTGTGTGTGTGTGAATCATATATCTACAAATATATAGTTTCAAACAACCTTTCCTTCAAGGTTGAGAGGACATTGATATGACTTTGAAGCATAGATACTTCGTCGATTGAAAAATCTCTCAAGAAAACAACGTAAAAGCCCTACAAGTGATAAAAAATACATCACGTCAAAAAAAATAAAAATTCGATCAACATGATCATGTATCAATTTACAACTAGAAATTTTCAATGAAGGAAAGCTAACTAGTAGTAAAACCTTTTGTATGTCTCCATTTACAACTACATGAACTGTTGAGATAAGGAAAAAAAGAAGAGAAAGTTGAATTGAAGGGACAGATAGAGCCCTCAACATGGTTGTAGAACTTAAAGCTTGAACCTAGCTTTGTATTGATCTATGTATGTGCAGGCATTGCAGTGTTTAAAAAGGAAGAAACCAAAAAGACAGTATTTAGAACAGGCAACAACAATATCATGAACAGTGAAAAGAATAAGTAGAAAAGACTTTTAACTCCACTACATAGTTCTTATGGCTTAGAGTTTTCACTTTGGAAAACTTAGAAGAAACTTAGCAGAAGTTTGGCTTTTGTGTACTCTTTAAAAAGAAAGATGTGTGGCTTATAAGAATTGCTCTTAGGAAATTTTTTGCAGCATTTGAATTTCTTTTTTGTTTTAATTTTTTTTATTTTTTTTGTGTCAATTACTTCATTGTGAGGACTATGGAGATAAAATATCTTAACCCGCAAAAGTTGGTTCAGTGATTGAGAAAGGGGTAAAGCGTACACGGTTCACCTGCACGTCCAAAGTTCAAGTCTTTGTCACAGTATAAAACTCAGGTTCAATCAATATTTGTGGTTTGTGAGTGATTGAATATACAATCATATAACCAGTTGAAACATATATACTTAAGCTACAATCTTTCTAACAATTTAAACTTTTAGAATAGTGGTTGTTTAACATGGTATCAGAGCAAAAAATTTTGTATTCGAATCTTGCCACCACTTTAATTACTAAATTTTTTTTTTCACATTTTAGGCCTGAAATCTAGCCTGCAAGTGAGAGAATATGTTAAAGTATAAATATTTAAATTACACCATCTTTAACAGATACGTCTTCTAGTCTGACGCAAGAGACCATTTATCTTTACCACAAACTAAAAGGATTAAGTGCCTTAGAGGGTACATGATGGGTTTATGCCTAACAAGTGGTCACGACCACCATACATCACTGATTATGAGATAAGTAAACTTAGTTTTTTTCAAGATTTCATCAGCTTTTTTAAGAAAGCTTTTTAGGAAATAATGGGCATGTTCTTTGGGAACCCTCCAATGGGTTATAGGTTGAGTTCATAATTTTTAATAAATTTATGTTATTGTCCAACAATCAAGCACATTTGTGAGCATCTTGAACCATGTAAAGTCTGAGTGGAAGAGCCCTCAAAGAGCACTACATTATCCCAAGCTTATATTAATAAAAAAAAACCATTTGAAAGCAACTCACACGGGTTGGTTCAATGATCTAATAAGAGATGCGAAGTAAACTTGCACGCCTAGATTTTAGGTTCTCCTGGTCGAATCAAATCCAAGTTTAATTAATGTAAATAATTTTGTGGATAATTGTAATGTAACCAATAATTTAAAACGCACGTACTTGAAAATTGAAGAGTAGATAATTATCAAGTTTGAATAAGTGGCTTATAAACAAAGAGCCTATTAGATCAGCAACCCCTTTTACTTGAACTAAAATGCAAGTCTTCCTGGCCCATTGCTTCTAATGGTAGCAAATTGTAAAGCTCAGTTTCTTCTTCAACATAACTTTTTGCAGGCTCAAATGACTTCTGTGTTTTCTATTCGTTTAAGCTTTTTAGCTTCAGTTGTGGACAAAATTTTGCAAAGTGAGTGAAAACTTGAAATTTCACTTTTTGTTCAATACATTATGAATTCAAGTGTGAGCATTAACCTCTTTAAAATGAGAGTAAAACTCTCTCCTAAAATCAATGTAGAGACGAGAATATTGTATAATGCAACGATTTTTTTATTTGTATTAGATAGATTTTATGTATTTCGGTTGGGTTGAGCAAAAACGTTCTAATTCAATTTAAATTTGGGGGGTACTTGGGTTAGGGTCCCGAGGGTCAGCATTCAACCCAAATAAATGAATTTGAATTTAACTTGAATTTAAGCCCGAATTTGCATAACCCTAATTGAACTCCAATCATATCTCAAGTTGTGTAATCTTCGAATCAAATCGAGCTTAATCCAAATTTATGCTCACGTTGGTTGTATAATCCAAGTATATTTAGAATTTGAAAATTTGAATGTAGGCATTACTTAAATTGAAGGGTTAGGATTGAATTTGAGTTCTAATTGAACTCTATTTTTTTTTTATAACTTGAGTGAACCTAAATTGATGTCTCAACAACCTTTTAAATATTTGCTTGAGCAATGCTACATGAACTTCAAATATAGATTTGATAATTACAACCATTGATTTCATTACGGATAATGTTACATTGACCAAATTTTGGGATCAAATTTAGAATCCAAATGACATGACAACATATTATTTGGAGTTTTTATTGGTACCCAAATGACATGGCATCAAGTGAAGAAGTCCAAGACAACTGCCATGTCATTTGACCTCCAAATTTGATCCCAAAATTTACTCAGTGTAGTATTACTCTTTCATTACATGTCTCAGTATTTATTGAGATTCATTACCTATTCAATTGTTATGATTATCAAGTGTATTTTTAAGTCTAATTTTTAAATCTATGTAAAAAGTGTTGACATTAAATCCACTATGCTTTGTGATGACGAGAGCATTTTTAAGTTTGACATTAAAGAGTGTTAGTAAAGTATATGTAATTCACTTTCTCATTTTTTACATTGTTTTTGGATGATGACACTATTTAGTGACAATAATGTGGTATAACCATTGTAATGAATATTTTTTCCTTGGTGTAGGCTTTAGGTAAATTATGGTGGGACTTTGGGGTAATCATATTTTAAGGCTTATAATCTTTAAGGATAATTCAGTGATTTAGTTTGGTCTCTTCTAAACAAGAAATCTCAAGTTCAAGATTTTTAATACCTCTTAAGGATCGACACCTTCGTCATGTATCAGCATAGTGGTTTAAACCACTTCGGAGCTTTGGGGCTAAGTCTTAGTTTGAGAAAATAGTCGGTACAAACTTAAATACCATAACAAAAAAAAAAACTCATGTATGTTTTTTATTTGTTGGTTAAAAAACAAGGGGGTAAAGAAGAGCGCCCAAAGATCATCGCGATAGGCCCTCATTGGTGGGATCATGAGGCCCTTGACCGCGCTTATTACACCTCTTGAGAAAGAGCCTAAATTAGGTTAACATATTGGTCAACCACCGAGTTCTAATGTGAATTTCATGACTAGAACCTCTAACTTTTGGATGAAAAGTATGACCAGTACTCCAGAACCACCGACACAATATATATCCAAGCTTTGTCCTTACAAAGGGTTTCGGTGAGACCTTGTTGCAGTCATTGGCAATTGAGCATACCAAAGGAAACATGTCCAAGATGAAATTAGACAAAAGAATGCGATTCTTTTGCTATTAAAACAGTGTGTTACTGATGAAGACAATCCATTTTTAAGGGAGTGGGGCATCTGCTCAGTCATTAATATGCTAGAAGGCAATATAGAAAACCAGTAAGTGACTTAGAGCTTCAAGGGTCTGTAGATGTGCCTGAAATTGTTGGACTTGGTCTTCGAGTGGAGGTAGATCAGAAAACTCGTTGTGCAAAGCTTGTAAATGTCTAATGAAGGTGTCTCCTGCTTGAATCAAAATTTTCCCAACATGGACTTAGGTACCGAGTGTTCACCCCTTTTATCAAACTATTGATGCAGAAAGTCGTGTTGGCATTTCAGGTGAGTAATGAGAAAATTTTGTAAAATCCATATGACTGTTCCTTAATGAGGTAATCATCCTATACAACTGCATATAAATATGTACAGAAACAAAATGATACATCTCATTTTTCATGCACCGGCCACTTCATTCCTATGTACATATCTAGAGTACACTAAACACATTAGTCTTCTTGTGGACTATAAACAACTATTGGACTCTTAACAATGTAACGAGAGCTTCTCCATATGAGTGAACCTGATATCATTTGTCCACTTGCCATGGGTTTTGCTTTGACAATCACCTTGAAGCTTCTCTTTTGCACGGCAGGAGAGAATGTGAGACTGGCAGGCTTCACAGTAATCTCCACTCCTTTTGGTGCTTTAATGGTGGCATTGTAGATGGATTGAGGTGTGCCTACGTTAGTAACTGTCCTTTGGAAAACACCTACCGTCGGCTCTTGATCACTCTTCATGTGGAGCTGCATGGTGGGATAGTTGATAGCATCTACGCCAAGCTGAGGAAGCAACGCAGAACAATTTACTGATTTCTCAGCCATTAAAACTGCTATTGAAGATTCCTTGTACCCTTCATGGCATAGGAACTGGATATAAGACATTTCATCCATGTCATAGATTAATCCAGGGTTCACTGCTTTTCTTGGGTTCAGTTGACCAGCACCATACCCAAATTCAGCATCACGGTTCACCCTTGAGCTCATAGGTGTTGCTTTGGTAGAGATTCACGAGGTATTGTAAAGAAAGAATTTGAGCGAATTAGACAATACGGAAAAAAAAAAAAAAAAAGCAACTTCAGTAAGAAGTCATGGTCTTGGTTAAGTTGCTTTGAAGCACAAAGTATGCATGTAGGTTTGTAATTAAAGGGCAGTGTAGTGCAAGAGACTCCTACTACTACGTACCCAGCCTTGGGTATGCATATATATAGACTATTTTTGTGACTCAAACCCATTATATTCAGGCCATAGTGGAGCAAATTCACCATGTTTCCAAGAACTGAGGCCAAGCTACTTAAGATTGAGATTAAGGGAGAAGTTATTCCAGTTTTACCTGAAGTCATAATTGCAGATTTGATAGCGGCAGGAGTCCAAGTCGGGTGGAATGACTTTACATAGGCAGCTACCCCCGCAACGTGTGGACAGGCCATGGAAGTACCAGACATAAGTGTAAAGTCTGAATATTGGGTATCACCTTTCAACCCGGTTAGTGATTGCAGAGGGGTGTATGATGCCAAGATGTCAATGCCGGGTGCTACAATATCAGGCTGTTTCATAGTTTATCAGGAATCAGGAAACAGGTTCATTTGAGTAGCAGGCCTTATGATCACGATGAACTCAAACCCTGTAATACATACCTTGAGAAGGTTTTTAGATCCTGGATTTGGACCTCGAGATGAAAATGAAGCAGTAAATGGAGCTGGGATTTTGACTTCTTGGGACTTATATATCACCGCTGATGGTGATCTGCATTGATCAGGTAAAAGTCATTCATTTTTTGAATCCAAACGGTATTGTCAAGCTGTTTTTTTGATGTAGTGCTGATCTTTCAATATAGCAGCCTAAATTGACAGTACCTTACTGAGTGTATATAGCTGTCAATGATTTTGCCTGTGCTGGTATTCACCATGGTTGCCGGAGCCATGTAAATTTGGGCAACATCAAGAAACACCTCACTTTCAATGATGGTGCCGATCCCTCCAAGACCTTTAATGACAGAATCAGCACCCCATGAAGCTAGCTTGCAGTGGACAAGCTTTCCTTTCACCTTCTTAGGGTCCATTGTGTTTTCAAGACAATAACTGCGGAAAAACAGTGTAATGATCTTCAAACATTTGCTTCACACAGTTTTTCACTTTTGTCAAAGGTCTGATGAAAGAATGAGGGATCAATTACTTTATTACCGTGGTTTTTTTATTTTTTCAAGTGAGGTTTAAACTCTTTTTTTGATAATAAAGACGTGTTTTACAAGACTCCCTTGAAGTAGAAAGTCGTGAAACTGTGTACATTGAAAAACGTGAATTTAAACTACGCTTTCATGTAAATACCGACCAATTAGAAAATAAGTTAGAAATCACCAATACAGGGAATAAAGTGAGTCTTCAGTAAGTAATTGAAGAAATAGGGTTAATGTTGTTGAAACCATTATCAAATGCTTGCTGAAAATATTAGAACCTGGCACTGTCCTTGCTTGCTGAAGCCTGGGCTACATCAGCCCCTGTAACAAGAGGATATGAGTTTTGCTTTGGATTAAAGGCATTCACTCCAATTCCCTGCAGAATATAGGCATACACAATTTAAAATTACACTCCATTGTACAAGGTTCTCGTCGTTATGGGATCCAAAGAGGTAAATTTATCATGTATGCGAGCTAAGTGCTCCAGCGACTTGAATTCGGAGTAGACTTTTAAGTGGTATTAAATATATGTTTTATAATTAATACTTGATTTTGGTAATATAGAGTGTCTTTAGATGAAAAATTAATACTAGAATATATAATATTACAATTTATAATTTGACTTGCACATTTATAAAAACATAACAACAACTGAGATTAATCCAATCTTCTTTTAACGATATAAAATTCATTCTCAATTTTCTTCCCGCCCAAAATATGTCTTTTCTATACGCCCCTAACGTTAAATAATTTAATAAACAAACTTTTTAATAGCAGGCAACTCCATTAAATATATTAGATATAATTATTGCACCATGTGCCACGTGGTTGGACCCATTCATTTCACATTTATTTAATAAATGATATTAATTTAAATTTTAACTTTTAAATTTTATTTGAATTATATACATTTTCTATATTTACTGCACTAATTCACACCGATCCCTTTTTTTTTCTTCCCTCTCCTATCTCTTGCTTATTTTTTCAATGTTCACTTTAATCTTGAATTAAGTAATTAAATAAAAATTTAATTATTAAATATAAAAATTTTATAATTAATGTTTAATTTTTACGTTACAAAGTCTATTTAGGTACGAGATTATTATTAATATAATAGACATATATATTGAGAGAGAAAGAACCAACCGAGACGATTTGGCCGCTGCCGAGCACGACTTTACTCCTAAAGTCCCGATCAATACCACTCGCACCCACAGTAAATATCCATGGCGCATGGTTCGCCACACTCCGCAGAGTAGGTCCAGCATTTCCGGCGGAAGCCACCGCAACAATCCCTTTCTTCATCGCATGAAACGCTCCGACCGCAATCGGATCCGCCGCATAACTATCCGAAAAACCACCAATCGAGATGGAGATCACATCAACGCCGTCGTGAATCGCTGCCTCGAACGCCGCAAGAATGTCCATGTCTGAGCAGCCTGAGCTGGCCCAACACACCTTGTACATCGCCACCCTGGCCGACGGCACAGCCCCACGCGCCGTCCCTCCGGCGAGGCCAAAGAGGTTTGCGTTTGGAACTATCGTTCCGGCTAGGGTTGATGATGTATGAGTGCCATGGCCGTCGACATCCACCGGTGAGAGTATGTCGTTCGGGTCTGGGTTTTTGTCTAGTTTGAAGTATTTGGCGCCAATGAGTTTCCTGTAAAAACACAAACATGGTGGCAATAGAGAAAGGATATTGAAATGAGGAAAGGAACTATTGTTAGATTATACCTGTTGCATCCTGAAAAATTCGCAAAATGAGCACAACTTCCTTTCCATTTGGATGGTATGGGATCAAGTCCATCATCTTTAAAGCTATCTGATTGTGGAGTGATCCCTGAAGGCATATCAACAGCAAAATTTGTCGATAAGTACGAACTTTTGCAGGCACATTTGTCATACAGTGCGTAGATCTAGCTCAAAACAAACAATATTATACAGTTGAGATCATTACGAGAACCAAAGAACAAAGCAAACCTGTATCTAATAGACCAACAATGATGTTGCTCTCCACTTTCAAGTTTCTTCTAGCTGTTTGAGTTAACCCAACAAATTCCCATGATTTTGTAGTGTGAAGTTTGCGATATTGATTTGGGAAAACAGAAAGCACTCCATCCATACCTGGACATGCACCTCAGTGTGATCATTAAATTCATATGCATTTCAGAAATGTTTCAAAAACATTAATGTATGCAGATAAAAAAACTTAGGTTTGTGTGGTTTGCATCTAAAAAAATAGCATTTGAAAATTATTTTTGGAAAGAGTTTTTTAGAAAAACAAGTTTTGATATTTTTTATGTTGTAAAAATTTGTTTGGTTATATAATTTTAAAATAGTTTTACGGAATAAAAAATAATAAAACTTGTTTGAATAATAACACTAAAAATAATAAAAATAAAAATGTGGTAGTAGTAGTGATGGAAATATGGTGTTGGTGGTGGAAGTGGTGGTGGTGTTGGTGGTGGTGGTGATGATGGAAGTGTGGTTGTAGTGGTAGTATTTTTTAAATATTATGAAAATATTGTTTTTAAAATCACACAAAACAGTTCTAACTTGTTCTTTAAATTTATCAACTTTTTATTGTCAGTTTTCAAAAAATAAAAACAAAAAATTTCTTGTCAAAATAACTTTTCTCTTAAAAACTGTTTTCGAAAACAAAAAAATAGTTTCTGAGATAAAATCAAACAATCCAAATTTTCAATTATGAAGCATTTTGATACATGAGCATTTGGATTTCTCATCATTGATTCATTTATATTCCCTCCAAAATCGAAACATTTTGGTCTTTTCGTTGAAAAAGAAACAAAATTTTGATTATTGGATCAGTTATATACATACTGGATAGTTTCTTGGCTTCATCTTCAGTTAGGTTTGCTGCAAATGCATTGAAGCTTTTCGTATAGCTATAAACGAGGGACTCCTTAGCATCAACCTCACTGTTTTCATCCAACACAACATATCATAAAACCTCTCTTGTAAGCATGAAAAAAACAGAAGACATAGACACATAATCTATATATATATATTTCGATCATATATCTGCAAGTATATAGATTCAAACAACCTTTCCTTCAAGGTTGAGAGGACATCGATATGGCTTTGAAGTACAGATACTTCGTCGATTAGAAAATCACTCAAGAAAACGATGTAAAAGTCCTGCAAGTGATAAAAAAAACATAAGTAATCGACATGATCATGTATCCATTTACAACTTGAATTTGTCAATGAAGGAAAGCTAGCTAGTAGTAAAACCTTTTGTTTGTCTCCATTTACAACTACATGAACTGTTGAGATAAGGAAAAAAATAAGAGAAAGTTGAATTGAAGGGACAGATAGAGCCCTCAACATGGTTGTAGAACTTAAAGCTTGAACCTAGCTTTGTATTGAGCTATTTATGTGCAGGCATTGCAGTGTTTAAATAGGAAGAAACCAAAAAGACAGTATTTAGAAGAGGCAACAACAATATCATGAACAGTGAAAAGAATAAGTAGAAAAGACTTCTAACTCCACTCCATAGTTCTTATGGCTTAGCGTTTTCACTTTGGAAAACTTAGAAGAAACTTAGCAGAAGTTTGGTTTTTGTGTACTCTTTAAAAAGAAAGATGTGTGGCTTATAAGAATTGCTCTTAGGAAATTTTTTGCGGCATTTGGATTTGTTTTTCTTTTTAGTTATTTTTTTTTTATTTTTTTTGTGTCAGTTACTTCATTTTAAGGACTATGGAGATAAAGTATCTTAACCCGCAAAGGTTGGTTTAGTGATCGAGAAAGGGGTAAGGCGTACACCGTACACCAGCACATCCAAAGTTCAAGTCTTTCTCACATTATAAAGCTCAAGTTCAATCAATATTTGTGGTTTGTGAGTAATTGAATATATCTGATATTTGTATTGCAACCATATGACTTCTTGAAGTATAAATTTTCAAGTTACACTCACTCTAACAATTTAAACTTTTGAAATAGACGATTGTTTAACATAGTATCAAAACAAAAAGTCTTGTACTTGAATCTCGCCACCACTCTAATTATTAAAAAACTTTCATGTGTTAGGCTTAAAATTTAGTCTGCACGTAAAAGGGCGTGTTAGATTATAAATACTTAAGTTATACTCTTTCTAACAGTTTAAAATTTTGAAGTAGATAATTGTTTAACACGGCCAAAAGACATAAGAGACGTCTTTTGGTCAACACAATAAACCATTTATCTTTTCCACAAACTAAAAGGAGTGAGTGCCTTAGAGGGTACATGATGGGTTTATGCCTAACAAGTGATCAGGACCACCATACATCACTGATTATGAGATAAGTAAACTTAGTTTTTTGAAGATTCAGCAACTTTAAAAGGAGTGAGTGCCTTAGAGGGTACACGATGGGTTTATGCCTAACAAGTGCTCAGGATCACCATACATAACTGATTATGAGCCAAGTAAACTTAGTTTTTTTGAAGATTTCATGAATTTTTTTAAGAAAGCTTTGTAGGTAAAAAAAAAAAAAAACTGCCCTCAAAGAGCACTACATTATCCCAAGCTTATATTAATATAAAAATCATTTGAAAGCAACTCGCACGGGTTGGTTCAATGATCTAATAAGAGATACGAAGTAAACTCACACGTTTAGATTTTAGGTTCTCCTACTCGAATCAAATCTGAGTTTAATTAATGCAAATGATTTTGCAGGTAATTGTAATGTAACCAATAGTCTAAAAGACGCGTACTTGAGAATTGAAAAGTAGATAATTATCAAGTTTGAATACTTGGCTTGTAAACAAAGAGCCTATTAGATCAGCAACCCCTTTTACTTGAACTAAAATGTAAGTCTTCCTGGCCCATTGCTTCTAATAGTAGCAAATTGTAAAGCTCAGTTTCTTCTTCATCAGAACTTTTTGTAAGCTCAAATGGCTTTTGTGTTTTCTATTCTTTAAAGCTTTTTAGCTTTAACTGTGGACAAAATTGAGCAAATTGAATGAAAACTTGAAATTTCACTTTTTGTTCAATAAATTGTGAATTCAAGTGTGAGAATTAACCTCTTTAAAATGGAGGGTGAAACTCTCTCTTAAAACTAGTTTATAGACGAGAATCTTGTTTATTGCATACGATTTTTTATTTACATTAGACAAAGATTTTTTGTATTTCAGTTGGGTTTGAGCAAAACCATTCTAATTCAATTTAAATTTGGGGAGTACTTGTGTTAGGGTTCTGGCCTCCCAAGGGTCAGCATTCAATCCAAATTAATGATTTTGGGTTTAACACAAATTTAACCCGAATTCAAGCCTGAATTTGTATAACCCAATAATCAAATTCATGGTAAAACCCGAATTGAACTGCAATCATATCTCAAGTTGTGTAATTTTAGAATCAAATCGAGTTTAATCCAAATTTTAGCTCACATTGTATAATCCAAGTATATTTTGAGTTTGAAAATTTGAACGCGGGCAATACTTAAATTGAAGGGTCCAAATTGAATTTGAGTTCTAATTGAGCTCGATTGTTTTTTTTTTTTTTTTAACTCGAGTGTACCTAAATTGATGTCTCAGCAACCTTAAACTATATCTGCTTTCTGACTAGAGCATTTTGAACTTTCAAACCTGCCAAAAAATTCAATGAAAATGGAAAAAAATAAATAAAAAAATAACCATAAATACCTAAAATCATTGGTGCATGTCAAAACAATAATTACTCAATAATGCATAGTTTGCATCCTCACATAGTTGGGAGTAAATATTCGTTATAATAGTAACATCACATCATTAATATCATGTGATATTATTATCCAATAAAAATATAATATAATAAAAAAAATAATTGACATAGATAAGTGGTTATTAAAATATAAGGAATTCACTTTCTCACTTGTTATATTTTTATTAGATTATGACACCATATAACTTGATGTAGCCGTGCAATGAGTATTTTCTCCCTATGGTGGGACTATGAGGTGCTTTGTAGATGGTACGATTATGATGAAAAATTTGAGAGATAGACCAGTGATGGAAAAATGAATTGATCAAAATCTATTATTTGTGTAGATATGTCTATATATATATTATCTATACATTAATTTCATATAAATATATTTTTTAAAAAATAAAAATTTTAAATAAAAAAAATATTTTTTTTCATCTTAACTAGGGATGAAAATTTTTAACTCAACACGATGACATGACTCAAACTCGACACGAATTTTATGACACAAACTTGATTATAACTCGACAAGAACTTGAAAATGACCTGACACGCGAATAATAAATATAAAAGACTCATAATTTTATGACTCAATACGAATCTGACACGACACGACTCGATTATCAAGCCTAATCTTAGCAAGCACAAAAAATATTTTAAAAAAAAATTATTCATTTTTATTTTTCATTCATCCAACTAAATACAAAGGAAAAAAACGTATCATTTTTATTTTTCATCCTTAAAGAATAAAAAATGTATCACTTTTATTTTTTATCTTTCCTATCAAACGAAACATTAAAATCAACCTTTTGCAAGTAAAACTCACGTATGTTTTGTTAAGTTGAAGTCAACTCACGTATGTTTGATATTAACACGATTAATCTATAATCTATTATAATATAGAATCAATTTTTTTTTAAAAAAAATTATATTAAAGAAAATTTTAATCATAAATTTTAGTTTATTACATTCGTAACTGTTGATTATAAAAATAATAAAATAAAATAAATCAATAAAATAATAGACATTTTTACTTGACAAGAAAAAATTTTTGATACCAAATTCTAACCCTAAGGCCCTAGGGCAAGAATCCCATGTGGTAACGACAAAAGGTGCATTGAACAAAATAACATTGTAACGTCGATTTGTTTGACCGTACCTCTGCAATTAAAGACGAGCCGGATCCTGAAGTCCTAACCTTAATCTTCGCGACCCGGTTTTGTTCAACCGCAGTTAAACACGAGCCGGACCCTGGGGCCCTACCCTTAACCTTAGCCTCGTCACTCGTCTCTGCATCTCAAAACAATTGGGATTTCAGAAATGTTCGTCTTCATCAGTCGAACCTCCCGCCAAAAAAGCTACCCATTTTCTCTCTCCTCCTTCACCACCACCACCACCACCACCTCAACCACCCCAACTTCTTCATCAACCCTCCACTCCAAATACTCGTTCAAACCCCCACTCTCTCTCCACCCACAAAATCCAAACCCCAACCCCAAAACCCCAACAGATATCAAGCCCCAAAAGAAGCGGAAACCCCCTTATCGACCTCCATCGTCGCTCGACCGGTCCGGTCAAAAACCGGTACGTTCCAACTTGCCGTTTGATTTTCGGTTCAGTTACACGGAGAGTAGTCCGGCGGTGAGGCCTATTGGGCTTAGGGAGCCGAAGTACTCGCCGTTTGGGCCCGGCCGATTGAATAGGGTCTGGACTGGGGTTTGTGCTCCGGTGAAGGACCCCAAGTTGGGGTCCATTGAGGATAATAAGAAGTTGGAGGAGAAGAGGAAGGAGATGAGAGAGAGAATACAAGGGACGCTGTTGACGAGTGCGGAGAGGAAACTGCTAGTGGATAGGTGTCAGAGGAATAGGACCAAGAGGCAAATCAATCTGGGTATTGCGGTTTTTTCTTTTAGATTATTGCATTGTCATGTTTTTTGTGTTTAATGAATTGGGTATTTTGGCTTTGATTTTATCATGAGCTTCTGTTGATATGTTGGATAATTGTCTCAACAAATCAAATTATGTGAATATATTCTCATATTCATGCATTCACATATAGTACACATCGACAAAACTAGTTTATTTATGCGAAGCTTGTGTTCGAGTAACACACTATGAGTACGAGTAGAATCGCGTCTCCCCAAGCAAAGTGGAAATTGTTTAGTTAAGAGCAACCAAATGAAATTTGATGAATTTCACAGAATGTGACTATAGACCAAACTAGTTTAGTTAGGATGTGAGAGATTTTGCACAAAAGGAAAAGCTTTTTTATTCAAATTATAGCATCTTTAGGAATTATTACTACCCATCTAATTGTAAAATTTGATTATCATGAATCATATCCCCTTAAGAGCTCAAAGAATATAGCAAGTTCTAAGTCATCAAATTGAGAGCATTGACGTTATGGCTGCTTTAGCAAAATTATTTGCTCAAGAAGATAGCTTTCTTATCACTTATCTGTTATGTAGAACTGTTTTGAACTAATTTCTGTAAGTTGAAGTTTGAACACTACCTCCTTTAATGTACTTATACCCAAAAAAATAGGTTTTTTTTTTAATATGAGTCTCTATCCCTCTCCGCTGTCTCTTACTTGTGGCATGTTCCTTTGTAGGGAGGGATGGTTTAACACACAACATGTTGAATGATATTCATAATCACTGGAAACATGCTGAAGCAGTCAGGATAAAGTGTATGGGTGTACCTACTGTTGATATGAAAAATGTGTGCAGTCAGTTAGAGGTATTTTATTCCTTCAAATCTAGTAAGTGTCAAAACATTTTGCTTGAGGAGCAACTTTTCAATTACATTAACATTGCAAACATGTCTTTTGGATTTTCATAAGCTTTGTTCACTATGATTTTAATGTCATGTTAAATTGGTACATTAATTATCTTCTCCAGATTGTGAACACTAGCATTGTGTACACATAGATTGCTCTAAGAAATTATTTTGCCTTTGTGGAACTATTTATTGAAATGTTTCCCTATGTTCCAGGACAAAACATTTGGTAAGATCATTCAAAGACATGGTGGTCTACTTGTATTGTACAGAGGTAGGAGTTATAATCCCAAGAAGAGGCCTGTGATTCCATTAATGCTGTGGAAGCCTCAAGAGCCCATATATCCTAGGCTGATTAAAACTACTATAGATGGCCTGAGCATTGAGGAAACGAAGGAGATGAGAAAGAGAGGGTTAGGTGTTCCTGCCTTAACAAAACTTGGTAAGTTTTTTCTGTACCTAGTAGCTATTGATACTGTCGGTTTGAGTGGTCTCTAGACTCTAACATTAAATTTGCAACTGCAGCTAAAAATGGTTATTATGGTAGTCTAGTACCTATGGTCCGCGATGCTTTTCTCACTGATGAACTAGTTCGGATAGATTGTAAAGGCCTCGAAAAGGGTGACTACAAGAAAATAGGCTGCAAACTGAGGGTAAGATTAACTTGGGCGCATGATTTTATTCTGAGGAGGCTTCCATATACTTCCTCATATGAAAAAGCCATCTTCTTTTTTACAGTGATCGCAAGTAAATGGTCTTTGCTGTAGTATTTTGTTTTTTCTGTCCTTCATATTGTTTGGTATGTTGGTGGGAGGGGTAACATACTTCTGTTCCATTGAATACATTGTTGCACCCACAACCACAACCTTGTCTGGAAATTTGAATTATTGTAGTCTCATTATTTCACAATATTATTTTGGCATTTTTGCATTTATCACCTCTATTTAAAGTTGACTTGGTTAAATTTGGATCTTTTGAGGAGGTGAAAGCGAGATTATCAGGCATCATATTGTAGCACAATATTAGCAGATGTCTTCCTTCTGCTATGCATAGTTATACAATTTTTGTCTTGTGCTCTTTTTGTATGACTAGCACCATTAAGAATAACAATTTCTCTAGTATGTATTTTGTTATGATACGTGTGACTTATTAAACGCTTCTACTATTACAACATCAGGTTGGTCACATGTAGAGCTTCAAATTGCAGCCACAAGGCAAGCAGAAGACCACCATATTAACGATTTTTTTTTTGAAAAGAAAAAACGAACAAACTGTCCATCGAATCCTTTGCCAGGCAGGACCTAACACTCAAATCTGATTTGATTCCTGCTCAAAATTTTGTTTCATTGCACCTTATGGAAGAACTTGGTTCTTCAATTTGTTGGTTACTATGTGAGTTTGACCCTATTCAGATGGTTTTAGTTACAGTGGTTAGCCCTTTCTTGGGCATGCGTGATGATTTCTTTTCTCTTCCCCAGAGAGATCTTAAACATGATAAACTACTGAGCATGCAAGAACTTAATGCATTTACCCTTCAGATTTTTCCTCTTAAGTTCAGTATAGGCAGGGATATTCTTGACGCATCTGCCTTGGTAATTGGAGATTCCCTGCCAGAATAGTAATAGTTTTTATTTTATTTGCGTGGAAAGGGCTGTCTTTGGTGCGAACACAACATTCTATTCTCAAAAGAATTCATTGCCATTTGCACAATCGTGGAAATGATGAAAAGTTATAGTTACAGCTGTTTTTTGTTTGTGCCATTAAATTTTTAAGCAGCCTATTGATGGTATAGGGTGATTTTACAACTTGACTATTGGTGGGATATGTGAATTATTTGATTTGTTTTTGCTTGTTTACTCAGCAAACATTATTTTTCAAGTTTTATTGTTTACATTGGTGATACAGGACATGGTTCCTTGTGTCCTGGTGACTTTTGATAAGGAACAGATTGTGATATGGAGGGGCGAGGACTATAACCCTTCAGAGGGTGGATACTTCCTTACTGAGAAGGAATCATTTGATAATCCAGAGAACGATTTGGTTATTGGAGCAGGACATGAGAGCTTAGATGATGGCCACAGCCAATATGACATTGACTCTGGAGATGGTGACTAGTCCTGCTGTTGCTAGAAAAACAAGCACCTAGGTGGTATTTTGTTTTGTTGCAACGTCTATAACGCAAGAGGTGCCCAACGGTGGCCTGGGGAGAGGAGTTTTCTAGTTCTGTCAACGAACATTGATGGCATAAGCTGTCAGTTTTCTCATTCATCAGAAATACCCATCTGATTTGCAGTTCTCAGGGAACAATTTTACAGCTGAGGAAGAGATCTCTTGGAGAAATTTAATGGGTTAATTATTGCATAAATGAGTTCTTCAAATGTGACTCTCATGCTTCAACAGTGGAGTCAGAATGCGCACATCCACACTTATTCATGGTTGATGTTCATGTTTGATGTCCTTAATGAGGTTAGTTTGGTTTCTGTCTCTCATAATTTAACTTAAGAATCTGTGTGTGTGTGTGTGTGTGGAGTAATCTGTATACATAGGGTGAATGGTTGTTAATAATTGTTGCAATAGGTCTGCTTTATTGCTTTGAAGAACAAATCAAAAGAAGGGTAGATGTGTTTTCCATTTGGGGAAGGTGTCGGTGTCTCATTGAGCCAGGTTGGGTAAAGCCAGCCAAAAAGTGGTGGGTGGCCCACATCCTGTCCATCAAGATGGCCTTAATGGACTTACCTTTCATTGTAAAACTAGGACTAGTAGGGTGTCTAAACCCATTCACTCTTCTAGCTTTCGTCATTTTGTATTGGCCCAGCAGAATGCTTTTGCCGTTGGTGTTCTCTTTGATCTCTGCAAATTCCACCACTTTAATAGAAATTCCCTCAACCCGTTTTTTACTCAATAGAGTTGATGTATGCTACTTATTATTCTCTAGATATCGTCATTGTTGGGAAAAGAAGTTCATGAACCGTAGGCCTTATACGTCCAGGTGACATTGCTCCCTCAAGCTTTGGCTCGCTATTTAGGAAAATTCCCCATTGTTGTCTCCTTTCAACTTTTTTATTTCCTCCGAATTTTTGAGTTTTTTGTGCTTTTGATCAAATAATCCGAATTTTTGTTCAAAATTGACTTTTCAGAAGTATGATTGGCCAAATGGGCTGCACTGTTGGACCGCCTCTTGGGCTTGGTTGGGCTCATCAATGGGAAAGTAAACTGTAGCCACTCCCACAGCTTATGGATTGTCCCTGGGCTGTGAGATGAGCCGACCCATGGTCTACTGGGCTGTTGGGCTTTGAGGCCAGACCGTGGGTCAAACGCCGACCCTTAGTTATATACAATATTCCCTATCCCGATAAAAACCTTTAGACATAATAATAAGGTTTAATTGCACTGGATTTTTCTAAAGTATGAGGTTTATCTCATTTTGGTCCTTAATATTTTAATTGCATTATTTTAGTCTTTGAAGTATTGAATATGTTTATATGTGGTCCTTCAAGTAGACATTATCTAGATTACTAACGATTTTTTTTCATTGCGTGATATCTAAATATGGTCAAAAACATTAATTTGGTTAGTTCTTGATCAAATTTTTATCTAAATTTTGGTCAAAGAGTTATCCAAATTTTAGTCGAGGGTTACCCATATTACACATTTTTGGTTTGGTTAAAGAGTTATTCAAATTATTTACATGGAAATATATTTAATACTTCAGGAATTAAAATGATGCAATTGAAATATTAAGGATTAAATTGAGACACACACTGTATTTTAGGGAACTCTAGTGCAATTAATCCTAATAATAATAATAATTAAAAAGACTTCCCAGCCTGGATGATGCGGTTAAAATAGATATATTGATAATGCGTGGATCTTGATGCAGTGCAATTTTTTTATTAATTAATTAATTAATTTCTTGTTCTTGATTTTAGGGTGGGTGGTATTTTGTGGGATAAGCAATCGTTAGTCCTTACGGGACGGGGTGTTGTTCGTGCAAGCAATCCATCATGTATGTCATAACCTAATTATTTACTCCATGGTAACGTAATCCGGGTTTGTCGACGGTATCAATTTTTTTTTTTTTAAATGTTTTATTATTTATCACTTTTTAAAGTCTTTTTTTGGTGGAGATTTAAATAGAAGATAATAAATCTCCCAAGTAATTTCCTCTTTTTTTTTTTCTTTTAATGATGAAAATTTCTCTAATACAAGTTGCATTGGACTCACTTCAAAATAAAATCATGAATATCTATGGGGAATTAACCAATTATGAATAGGTCTTACTTTTGTGGAAGAGTAGGAACATCTATTAGTCTGTATTATTGGTCTACTTGATATATATAAAAGGCGGCGAACATTTCCATTCCAAAAATATTTATATAAGTTCTCGGCAGGCATCGAAAAGGGGACAAAAAGAGTCTATTAACCTTTTCAATATTCTGGTAGGTATTCTTTGAATGATGAGAAGGGGAAGTTGGGAGGTGTAGGGGCATAGCCGATTGATTCATTCCCCATCCAGCACTTAACCGCGGCCCCCTCTCTTGCGAATGAGCTATGTGGTGGCACTTCGATTGCCCTGGTAAACCCGAGTTAGTTCGATTGGGACGAGGAAGGTGGATTTGTCACTCAGATGACATTTGGGAGATCAACTAAAGTTAAATCTAAGATTTGAGTTTATGACTCGCTTCTAACTTTCAAACTACCCTTGTTGGTTCAAATAATTCTCTTTGGATGGTACGTGGGTGGGGTTATACGCACAGACAAGGCGCGGTCTAGGATAATCAATTTATAAATATGTACAGGAAATGTCTTCTTGATTTAACCAACCATTTGATAGTGTTAGCACTACGAAGACACGATAAAATATAAAATTTGAGCGTTAAAAAAATTGATTTTATTATATTAAAATTTTTTAATATGTGTGTATTATCGTATATGAATAATGTTTAAAATAAAAATTATGTTAAATTATAAATTAATTAAATATTAAATGATTGAACATGTAATAGAAGTGAGTTATGTGATGTTTTTAGGAAGGAAAGTATGTAGGGGATAAAAATTTAAGTTGCTTTGTGTTTTATTATATAGATATGTAGAATCAAATTAGGTTTGTAGATTTAGTATATTTTCCTCTTTAAAAACTCGATATTTTTTAATGAAATATATTAATGGATGTGGATAGATAAGATTGATTTAATTTTTATCTACTTTAATATAATAATCACCATCCCAAATTTTTTTTTCGTTAAAAAATATCATGGCTCTAGTATCCAATCATCACACACTTCAATACTAAACAAACCTACTAGTCTACAACTATCTTTTTCTTTTTCTTTTTTTGTTCATTTTTATTTAAAATAGTCTAATTAAATAAAAAAATAAAAAATAAATTATTATTTAAAATATGAATATTAAATGATCAATGTTCAATTTTTTATATTATAAGTATGAATTTTTTTTCTAGTGTATATATATATTATATCTAATCAATAACACATGAAAGAAGTCTCGACAAGAAAAGGTGAAAAAAAAATAAAATATAAAAAAATACTAAATTATAGAAATAGTTAAAAAAACAAAAAATAAATAAGTTTCACAAAAATTATCAGAATGTAACTGAATTTATTTATAGTAAAATAATGTGAAAGAAACATGAATATTAGATAATAATGGGGGAGGGGGGGGGGTTATGAATTAACAAAGATGTATCATTTCATCATTATGAAATTGAATATAACCATTTTAGGGGAAGTCAAAGGAATGATTCTTAGTTGTCATAGTAAAGATCCCCCAGTCAAACAGATTTCGGACACACCACACCACACCACACCACAAACATATATTAGCACAAAGAACCGCACCCGTGTTTGAAAACTCTCTCTCTCTCTCTCTCTCTCTCTCTCTCTCTCTTCCTTGGCTTTGCTACCCGCATATTCTCTGTTCAAAACCCATCTTTTTCTCTCTCTAAACTTTTCACAACTTGTCCACCTCCAGCCTTCAGCACTTTCCAACAATGGCGGACCATGATCTCACCACTCGTCTCTTGGCATCAGACCACCATTCACAATCGTCTGATGAGCCCCACCTGATCATCAACGTAGATGGCGAACTGGGTCTCGAGAATTCCAATGGAAACTCCCATCAAAACCCTTCAAATCATCAATCCAATCACCCAAGTGATTATATCAACAGTACCCAGATGGAAATCCTTGAAAACCCATATGAGTTACTTGGGGCTAAAGGGTATGCTTTGCCGGAATCGAGTACCGTGGACCCATTTAGGAATAACACTGCGCGAATTGAAGGGGTTTATGAGTGGCTGAAGATTATGGTTTGCTTGCCTATTGCGTTGATTAGGCTGGTCTTGTTTGGATTGTGCTTATCGGTTGGGTATGTGGGCACCAAGTTTGCTCTTCATGGTTGGAAGGATAAGGAAAACCCGATGCCTAAATGGAGATGTAGGCTTATGTGGGTCACCCGAATATGTTCTAGATGTATCCTCTTCTCTTTTGGGTAAGTTAATCTAAATTCTTATACACGTGCTTGAAAATATTTATGTAGCTCTTGATATGCTTTTTATATGTATATGAAAAATAGATAGCATTTATTTTTTTAGTCATTGATGTTAGTGTAGATGTTTAGATTTGGCGATAACTTGTAGGCACTGTGATTCTATGAATTACTAGGTGAAATAAGCTTCATTCCTATGAAAACGAGTGGTATTGTCACTATAAGCTCAAGAACTTTCCTTGTCCTATCAGTTATTGGTCTAAAGTGTTTGGAGAAGAAATAGTGGTGTCAATGTGGTTGCTCACGGCATATAGATTTTGGTAATTCTAATATTCTTGGGATACTCCTACTTTTGGGGAAAAACGAGAAACTAAGGGAGGAGTTGGGCAATCATCCTTTTTTCTTCCATGGAATTTTGGTTTCAAATGTCAGTCTCCATTTTTCCCAGGAATTGAAAAATTGAGGAAAGGTGAGAGATCTTGTTTTGGGCACTAAGGTTATACTTTGCTCGTAGTTGTTTCACTGAATCTTCAAAACTAATTTAGTGGCCATTTCCAGATGGTAAGCAAATTTTTTATTTGTGCAGTTTACAGTTGTAATTATATGAAGGTGGTGTACTTTGAAAAGTAATGTTTAAGAAGCGTTCAATGTTTGTATCATCTAGAAACCATGTAAAATTGGAAGAAGACATTTGGATATTTGCATTAATACTTGACCCTTTCAAAGAAAAGGTGTCAGTATGTTGGAAGAATCATTTACTTCCATTCTTTTCTTTGAATGAATTACCTAGTACCTACAATAAAATATGTCAACAGCAAGCACTTTCTGATGGTATGTTTATTTAGTTACAAGTTTGACGTAAGGGGTTGCAATAAGGAGGCAACCAGTGTAGAACTTAAGCCAAATCTTTGTAAACATGGATCTTTAGGGAGCCAACCAATCAGTTGGGATTAAGGAATGTTAGTCTTCTTGAGTTGGGTATGTTTCCATATTTCTGAGATATAATCTTAACAGGCAAAATTTCAACTTAAATGAATTGAGTATGTCAAAGTTCAAGGAAGTTTTATTTATAAAATTCTAGTCCTTTTTTAACTCGGTCTAACTTGAATGAAATTTTATTTACCTATGGTGTTGCAGTTACCATTGGATTAAGAGAAGAGGAAAGCCTGCTCCACGAGAGATTGCTCCAATAGTTGTTTCTAATCATGTATCATACATTGAACCTATTTTCTTTTTCTATGAATTATTTCCTACTATTGTTGCGTCTGAGTCCCATGATTCCATGCCTTTTGTTGGGACTATTATTAGAGCAATGCAGGTAACCTTATGCCTCATACTTAGTAAATTCAGTGCCAGTGATTTACATAATTGATATTTGTTCATTTGCACCGATAAATCTATCAACACATGTATCATGATTTCTCTGTTTTTCTACATTCTTATAGGTAATATACGTCAATAGGTTTTCACCATCGTCAAGGAAGAATGCTGTTAATGAAATAAAGGTAGAAGGTTTCTATATTTAGTATTAGTTCTTGGATCTTTTACTTATGTTTTGATGAAAACTCTTCATTATTCAGGTTGATGATTTAGTCTAGTAAGCATTTGTCATTGTTTTTATTTGGTTCCATGTATTTTTTTGGCTATAAGCTATTATGACTAAAGGGGTGTTGGGCACACTTGGAAGAAAGGAAGAGAAGGGTTTTATTTTTTGGGCAGTATATTTGGTATCGCCCAAGATGTATTAGCTTTAGCCATAGTTTTTAAACCCGGCCTGGACACCAAAGCAAAGGGACTGGGTCATTGGTTACTGATTTAACCGTGGGTCAATCGGTCGAACTAGTCAGATAATTAATAAATAATAATAATAATAAATATGCTAAAAAATTATAATAGTTACAAAAAATAACATATTTTATGTTATAGTAAATGAAATAAAAAGACAAAAAATATCCTCAATTCATTAATTTGCTTACATAATTGATATAATTTGATAGAGTATAAAACAATTCACTAAGAAATATTGAGTATTTAGTATAAATAGTAATAATATGATGTCTAAAAAACCAAAAGAAAAATTGATAGAAAAAACAATGACAGTTTAAGTGCACTACCTATCCCACATCGGAAACTCACAGAGAATTATGAGGACTGTGTGCCTATAAAAGTGTTGCACTTCTTTATTTGCTATTATTAATGGTCAAGACTTGATGGCTTAACATTAGCTCCTTTGGATGAGATGAGCCTCGTGAGCCTTGAAATTTAGTTTTAATATTTTATGTTTGAGTTCCAATATAAAAATGGATTTGTTGGATTTGTGGAACCCGAACAGGTTTTTACGAGTTCATGAAAAGTGACCGGTTTAGGTTCGTTTGAACGGTTCTCAAGTGGGCCATTTGTTGGACTGATTCAATTAAGGGACCGGCCCGGCTTAGGCACCGGTTCACTAGTTTTCCTGGCCGACCCGCCGGGCCGGGTTTTTAAAACACTGGCTTTAACATCTTCTCTCAGTTTTCAAACTAAGTTAAAATTTATTGGTTGACTTTCAAGAGAGTGATGCACAAAAAATATTATTTTTTAAGTTTATTTTAGTCTTTGTTTCTAGGGATTGAGGGTTTATCTTTTAATGGTGTAGTGTGCATTATAGTCAAGTTGTTATCTATCTTATGACATGCCCCAGTGAAAAAACAAAAAAAGTAAACTGCCTGAAAATATGATTCAATATATTGTTCTTTTCTCCTCTGCCTCCAATCCAGCTTCAAGTTGCATGTTGCAATCTTTTTCCAAGTCGGAGTTTTGATTGGTTAAAATTGAGAAACTTGGATTTGTCAAGCCTGCATTTTGGTTGGTTTACAAATGCATCGCTGTTTATTTATTCGTGCTTTGGACACTTCTCAATGAGGTTCTTGCACGTGGTGGACCATAAATTCCAGTAATTATTGTTTTTCCATTCTATCTCACTGGCGTTTTATTTGGAATTTATTTTGTTCTTTTGCTGTACATTTTTGTTGACTAAAAATATTCTCATATAGTATTTGTATCAATGGGACCCCACTGCAAGTATTTTGTATGATGCATTATTCTTTTCATCGCCCGTGTTGATAGGTTCCCCCTCCCAGTTTGATAAAAATGTGTTGTCCTGACTCCCGTATAACTCAAAACAATCCACTTTTAGGATTTGGCTCTGAGTTAAACTCGCATATTTATTTCATTCCTCTTGTTAATATAACCTGAGTTAGACAGTTAAAGAGGATGGCTAGTGATTTGTTGCTATCCGTAAATTGCTGAATTATCTGTGATGTGTTTATGTTCTGGTTGTTGTCATTTACAAATGAGAAGCTGTAATAGACTTATGTTGGGATTGGAATTGCATATGACAATTTTGCCAAGGTCTCATCTAGGTGTTTTTTTTGGATAAAACTTTGTTGACTGCAGGCATCTTTATGTTTGATTGACCTTGAAATTGTCATTTCGAACTCTTTTCAAAGGTTAAATAATTGGAGTCAGTGGTTTATTAAATATGATACATGAATATTCTTCTTTTTCAACAATTCAAACTATTAAGTTTTATCAATATACAAGTTATTTGATACAGAATGTGCTTTCGAGGATCTGAATACAGAGAAAAGCTTCTGGTGATAGATTTCCTCGATTGCTTTTATTTCCCGAGGGAACCACAACCAATGGAAGAGCCATTATCTCATTTCAACTTGGTGCATTTATCCCTGGTTATCCTATCCAGCCGGTGATTGTCCGCTATCCCCATGTACACTTTGACCAGTCCTGGTATGACTTCTCTTTTCAGTGGAAATTCTTTCGTCGTTGTCCTTGGAAGTTATCTTACTAACCTTGTTTATCATACGTTATTTTTTGTAGGGGGCATATTACTTTAGGGAAGCTCATGTTTAGAATGTTCACACAATTTCACAATTTCATGGAGGTATGCTGTGTATCTCTCTCTACCGCTCTATCTGTGGCGAGTGGTTCATGATATATTTTTATTATTTCTGTGGTGTCTCAGCTGACCTCAAACAAGGATAAGGATTTGTTGAATATGTGTGGTTTCTCAAAACATAGTTTATCTTGGTTTTCTTTGAGGATTTTCTCTCAATAATGGTAAATCTGGCAAATCATATTGAGGTTGTCACACTGATGTATTTTTCAAAATCATATTCAAGCTGGCATTTTAGTTCACCCTTAATGTGTTTAATTGCAACTCAACATGATGGAAGAGCTATGGTTCTGCTCTTGAAAGAGAAAAGTACAACCTTACAAGAAAGAGGGCAGCCTTTCAGGATTAAACTTGAGAATTGAGATAGTAGTTGTCCTTCAAACTGATTTCTTCTGCAATGTGATATTAGACATCTCTTGCAACATGCCATTTTTTAAGCATGTAGTTGAATTGGGAGAATTAGGCTTCGGAGTGGGAGGAAATGTCTTTCCAAGAGAGATGGAAGCCGTGCAAGTCAATTCCTGCTTTTAATTTGATGGACTCGTATGCTCCTTTATACACTCCACAAAAAAGTAGCGTAGTGACCGAGGTTTCCACTATTGTGGGATCACAGAAGAGTCAGATGTATGCAATCTTATCTCGAGTGAGGGGAATATTTACGTGCCTCTAAATTTTAATATCTTGGTTAGAATGGAACAATCTTACAATAGTGCCAAGGCCTACTCCTTCATATGTTGCGTGCTGCTATGAAATAATGCTAGGCACGCTGCCGTGATTTCTAAATCCCATATTGAGTATATATGGTGACCCTAAAATAAGCTTTTTAATGGACCATGAACTACATATTCTGCACCAATATTAAAGTAGTGCATAAGAAAAAAGAAAATAAACTCATCTAGACAGAAGATGATACACATATTACGAGCCTGCCTGTTTGATTTCATTTTGACTAATATAGATAAATAATTCTGCGTCTTTGCAGGTAGAGTATCTTCCTGTAGTTTTTCCCCTTGAAAATCAGAAGGAAAATGCTGTGCATTTTGCTGGGAGGGTAAGTGTACGCTACTAATTATATTTCACCGAGCTGCTTTGTTGAATTTTTTTGGATTTGGATATGAATATTCTCAGTGTATCCATACACTTAAATGTGCATTTCGAGTGGAACGCATTACCAATACACTGGGCCAAGCTGCTTTGCTGATTTTTTTTGGATTTCGATGTGAACATTCTCATTTTGTCCATACACTAAAATTTGCATTTCGAGTCGAATGCATTACCAATATACTGTATGAAAAGCCAAGTTATTGAAATGTACATGATGTGTCCTATTTATTTTGCTTCAAGGAGCTCGTTATATTATAGACTCTTTCTATCATCCATATGCTTCATTTCATATCCCTATGTTTACATGGAGGATGTCTGAACATAAATTTTTTTGACTCTGGTGGATGTGTTGTTTATGGATGACTTAATTCAAATCATGTTGCAGTAGTTCCCATCCTCCTTGTTATTAATGGTTCACTTTTTGTTTTTTAAATTTGAATTTAGTTTTTATGGGAGCGATGCACAAAGAGTCAGCTGAATTCTTGATTTATTGTCTGGAATCTAAGTTTTTCTCCTTTTACAATGGTACTTCTAACCAAAAGGTTTAATTCAGAAGCGCCATGGTCATGTTTAGAAAGACCTTGGTTTGTTATTTTGTCTCAGATGCATGCCATATGATACGAAATCAAGTTGGGCCTAACTGCATAAGCAACACTTGTGTTAATATTTGGTCTGTCAAACTTTTTATAGTTGGAGGAAACTTCTTGTAATCACACCATCAGTGTACTAAATATATTTTTGCTTGCTTCCACAGCAGTTGATACCCAGTGTCCTTTCTCTAGATGTTTTCCAAATATTAGCAAATGCAACTGGACTGAGAGGGTTTCGTTTATATGTTTGCATGCTTATTTCTTACATAACTACATTTATTTGTGATGCTATTTAATTTAGTTCTCATAGTTCTTTTTGTTAATTAGTTCATTCTTATTGCAGACTCGCCATGCGATTGCCACTGCTCTCAATGTTGTACAAACTTCTCATTCCTATGGGGACTATATGCTTGTTACAAAAGCATCTGAGTCCAAACAGGTGCACATTTATTGCTTATTGTATCATGCATTTTGAGATTATTTTGCTAGTTCATCCGTCTCTATGGTCTTCGCATGTTTTCACCGGAACATATAACAATTTTCAAGTCCGGAGCACAACACCTGAAGCTTGAAATCCCCCTCTTTTTGAAAAGATAGAGTCGATAAAATGAAAGTTGCAGAATTTATCCACATTTGTTTGTACAATAGATAAGTGATTCAGCAATGGCTTGAAGCAATTAAATTGGTTAGAATAGCTAAACAAGTACTGTACTCCGTGGGGAACAAATTTGCCAAATTAGCATAAACAACACTCCACGTACTCAAAATGGGCCTTCTACTTCTGTGGAATCCAGCAGAAGCTTCCAGGTGGAAGGTAGAGGGCTCATGCCTCACCTGGTTGATTCTTAAATTTTTTTTGGGATGATTGAAGATTTTCTATGTCAAAGAAAAAAGTGGAGAGAAAAAACAAGGACTTGGCAAACTGTACCAATAAAATCAAAAGTTTACTGGTGCAGAAATCAAATGGTATAGAAGAACAGTGCCATAACTCTTTTTAAGGGCAGTAAGAACCTTTTGTGTGTGTGTGTGTGTGTGTGATATGTAACACCTTTAAAGGATGCAGCACATTGACTTCAGCAGAAAAATGCCGCAAGTCCAAAAGTGCTCCACAAAGATTTGAAAACTGAAGGAGGCTCACACCGGAAAGCTAACATATAAATGAATTCCAATGAAAACATAGTGTAAGGTATAACCGTGATTATCTATGGCCTTGGACCTGTGCTTCACATGATAATGAAGTATTTACTATATTTGCTAAAGTTGAACTCTACTATTTATTTGAAGAGGTGATGCGTGAGAGGAGCAGAAGGAATACAAATTACATCGATAACACTAATAAACCACTATTTCTGCATTAAGCTTTGTTATGACTGTGTGCCGGTGTGGTGTTATCCATCGTTACTTATCTGAATCTTGTGGAAGGTTTTACTTGTTTCATTTCACCAGAAGGAGATTGGTTTTTTTTTTGTGGGGGGGGGGGGGGGGGGGAGGGGTCTGTTACATATAATCGAATGTGAAGTTTTATGATGTCCATTTGGAAATCCCATGCTCCTTTGGCACTGAATGTCGCCTTGTTTTGCTTTGCAGGAAAATCCACTGCTATATATTGTTGAAATGGCAAAAATTGAATCAGTAAGTTTCCTTCTTTTTATTTTTCTTTTCTTTTTTTTAACATTGAACAATTTTATTTAATAATATCTTGTTTTATGAGTTGCAGACATGACAGAAACTAGAGCTGCATTCATATATCCACATCATTTTCTATAGTTCACTTTATGTGATGTAGGGTGTGCGTGAATTGATATGATTTAGATTTTAGAGGTCTACATTTGTTAATACTTTTCTATCCAGTGATTCAATACTTTTGTGTTACGTGTTTATTTCTTTTGGAAGACATATGCAAGTTAAGATTTTGCACTTTGGTGCAAATCAAAATAAGGCGTCTCCTCTAACTGCTTGTGTTTCTATACACTAATCCGGTTCTTAATATGATACAATATTCTTGATATCCTCTATTTTTTCTTCAACTTAATGAAAAACATGGGTTGGGTTATGTCTTTGTTTTGCAGTCATTACATTTGAACACTTTTGAAGCCTTGGACTTTCTGGATAAATTCCTTTCCATGATCCCAGATCCCTGGTATGGCGGCATTGTATGCTTTCTGTGATGCTCATGTTACCTTGATCTGTAGTTGTAGTGTTGATTGTCTTCAGTGAAAAACATATGGTTGGTTTCTTATCAAAATTGGTTTATCTGCATTTGTGTATGTTTACCTCTGTTATTTTAAACTTTTTACCTTTATGCATCTGTTGAATTGCATCCCACTATAATGTATTTCATTGCAAGGGGTTGAATTCTATTAAGCACTCTTCATTCCATGGTAGAGGTTCACAAATATGGTGCCTGAATCATTAAGGAGTAGTACATGCTAACATCTCTTCTTTCTTGGTGTCTTCATTTCTTCTTTCTTTGTGTTTGTCTGGCCTTCTTTTGCTTAACAGTAATTATATTTTGAACTTAATAAAAAAGTTTCTATCTCCGCCAAAGAATACTGTGTCCACTAAAATGTTATGGGAGACGTATTTTGGTGGCTACAGCTATATCACTATTGATGTATGTGGAAAATTGTCACTATATGCATATATGTTTTGTTATTTTATAGGTTCTGGTCAATTTGTTTTTAAAAGGTCCACATTTTTGCAATCTGAGAGCACTTCTATTCTTTTTTTTTTTTTTTTTCAGATTCTGTCTGTCTCCCCCAATGCCCCGCAGCTGCGGGGAGGCTAGTATGTTGAATGTCATTTGTATTTGTCAAAGTTTGAGAGGGTGAGCATCAAGCTTGATGCTTTATTTGAGAAAAATGGCACGTACATAATGTGTTGACAGAATGGGTTTCAGAAGTTGGTCATACTTGTTCTTGTGACTGCTACTGTAATCTTCCAGAGAACTGAAGATGTATTATATGTATCTCAAATTCTTATTGACACCACGCTATTATGTGACAACGTTCATCCGAGTTTTTGTTAGATTAGTTTCAAGTTTGTGCAAATGCCAGAACTGTTATTGACTATACTCATCATGTTTGCAGCGGACATGTTGAAATCCATAATTTCTTGAGGTTTTTTAGATTGAAGGCTTGTACCCTTTCAGAAAAGGTCAGTTACCAGTTAGATTATGCTTTTATGTAACTTCTCAATTTTGTTGTTACTTGTTAACTGTATTTTTGTATTCAGTTCTTACCATGGCTGGATGGTTATTTGTACTACCATCATAGTTTAGTTGTTTTTCAACTATTTGAACAGCCAAACTAATTTGGTTTGCCCTTTTTTGATTTTTTTTTTTTTGGCCTGATACCTGCTTTTAGATAAATAAACATAAATGATAATACTGTGATTTACAGACAGATGCTTCATGTTTGTCATATCAAGATACAAAATTATGATAAAACTATGCTTGGCATCTGGAATGGCCGGAATGAAGCGTTTGCCTTGGAAAATAGATGGAAAAACTAAAATAATAATGAAAATAATGTGTGCATTTTGAGATTCATTTTGATTGCTTGGTCAGCAATCTCATGTGAATAGGATGATTTGATTCTTATGCATTTTGCTTGAAAGAATTGTCGATACCTAATTTAGTTGGTGGTTCTGTATTGGTAAACTAATAAATTTGGGCATTTTTTACGTCTATCTCCCATTTTATGGAAATTATTCTGCATTGCAGATATTTGGATTCGTTGATGTGCAGAAGAGAGGCAGGATAACATTTAAAGAGGTCTCTCTCTCTCTCTCATTCTCCCCATATGTAATAAACACATACATTTCGTGGAATAGGCTAACAACTTTGAATTGTGGTTCAAATTTGAGGGCAGGCACTTTGTGCAAATAATGCAAAAGATTAGGTTTGTACTTGGTCCATCCCTCCCAGCACTCTTGTATGCACATACTTGTGTTTATGTCCTCATATCCATATATATGAGCTTGTGCATCTGATGCATGCGTAATGTATACATGTACACTAGATATCCACCTGCTCATGTGCACTCATTTGAAACTTGGATCATTCTTCAGCTCTTCATTGGTATTATACTGAATTAAGCAATTTCATTAATGGCAGAGATCATCTATTGGCTTAAGTGGGTGTCTGGATTTGGATGTAGTTGAATCTATTTTGGGTTGTTGCTGTATGACTTGAACCTCCACCTAAGTCAAGGGTTCAATGATTGGTAGGATATGTGGTGTAAAGCTGAAAAGTGCTCTATCTTTTTCAGTAACTCACTTGAATTATCAGACTCTGAGATAAAACGAAACCAGAATTGTCTAATTTGCTACATTTGTACATGCCTATTTTACCTGGAACTTTCATGCTCGACTTAGTCAAGCATTTGACTTGCATTTGTCATATTCATTGACTGAGGAAAATATTGAAATTCTAGAATTGTCAGTCAACTTTTGTGTTTAATTGAAAGTTATGGTTAGAAGTAGACCAGTTAATGAAGAAAGTTTTTTGTATAACTAAAAAACAAGAAGGAAAAAGAGTAACAATTTATCCACTTTGGAGTAGCATGGTGGTTTTCTGTAACGGGCATAGTTAACATGTGACGTGTTAACGGGTTGTAGACTTTTATTGGGTGCTAATTCAACTTTTGTTCTCAGATTCGATATGATAGATGATTGTCTAGTTGATGATATTACTTGCAGTTCTTATTTGGATCAGCTCATGTACTGAAGCAGCCATTATTCCTACAAGCATGTGAATTAGCATTTACTGGATGCGGCTCTGATGGAAACCATGACATTTCAGAGCAAGAAGTACATTTCTCTGTTTCTTTTTCTTGATTTTCCCATTGTTCTGAGACAACTTTAACTTCTTTGTTACTAATTCCATGCGTAACAGTTTGGAGGCTCCATTTTATTGGCAATTCCAAACTTGAATGAAGATGAGGTGAGTAGTCGATTACCATTAATTTTACATAATCCATGTATTAGATGTGGAAAATTTCCGACTTGGTCCACATTCTTGAGGTTTGTCAAACTTGGCTTTTGCAGATCCATGAACTCTTCCTTTTGTTTGACACTGATAGCCATGGGAGCATCAGCAAGAACAATTTTAATACGTGTTTAAGGAAAAATCCATTGCTCATAGCACTTTTCTCGCCCCAATTGTTGCGTTTGGATTTCCCTAGCAGGTCATAGGATGGGAAAAAGGTGTGGTGTGTTGTATGGTGGTAATCGAGTCGTGTTTGATGCAGTTTTGCCTTGATGAATTAAGCACTACCCTCAATGGGGGGAGTATGCTGGAGGATTCAAAGTGTGGTTTTTGACCCTGTAAAAAATCTCATGAAACAGTTCCGATTATTTATCTTGGCATTTTTGTAGGGTATTTTTTTTTTTAATTTGGATATTTTCTTGCCTGCAAATTATTGATAGCATACAGAAAAATTGATTATGTTGATAGTATGTCATTTTCCTTGCGAGGTTAATTGTTTTCAGGCGTTGACACTGTTGCTGTCGCTGTTGCTGTTACTGCAGTAATGCTACCACTTGGCTCTTCAAACGTAGAGCAGAACACTTTATTTTGACAAGAGATGATAGAAAGAAAAAGAAGTCCGGGTTACTGTAAGGCCTCTAAACTCTCCCATCGTAACAGTCTTGTGTTGTCCATGTGGACGGGGGATCCCAAGACTGCACTGACTTGTTTGATTTGTATGGAGTGTTTCATGATTCCGCGAGTGTCACCTGCAGAGAGGAATGTTGTCAAATAGGGCGATATTGTTCACTAATCACTCACTAGCCGGCCCAACTTGATCTGGCCTGGAGTCCATCCTTTCTATTCCTCGGTAAGCAGACTGTGGAAGCATGGGGGTATTGCTGGTGAGATTTGACTCTAGGTCGGCTCCAAAGAGACTATAGTACATGGAAAAAAAATAAGTCAGTGCGCGATCAAAATCAATTGCTTTACTCTTGGTAGTCAATACACACATATATTTCCAGTAAGTGCACTGTCGGCAAATACTCGAATTCATTTATGGGTGTATGGTGTGGAGGAGAAGAGCCGAGGTGATTCCTTTCTTCGTGGGTCCTATGAAAATACCAACCCGTCTCTAACCAAGATTCTATTAATTCCTCCACATGAGTTTTCCTCTATTCCCACCAAGCCCTATTTATCCTGCATCCACATGGACAAAGAATAAGGTTTGCTTGGGGCTTAAGCAAAAGAAAATTCAGGGATAATTATAAAAACTTTAGATCATTTTGTGCAACTCAAAAAGCAAGAAGGATAAAACAAAGAATTTCTATGAATAATGTAATCCTTATAGGGGGTGTTTGTTTGGGTGGATAAAGTGGGATAATGGACTTGGATTGGATTAAAAAAGTTTGGGGCCCCATAAATTCCAGGTTTGGATCTACATTTCTTGATGGGATAATCGTTGGGCTTCATTTACTTAGCCCGTAGGAATTCAGTCATTTATGCTCTCTGACCCAGATCCAGCAATCTCACCTGAACTTTGGGATTGCTAAGCCCATGAATAGGATAGTAGGTGTAATTACATAATTGTCCTCCAACAGTAAATTTTGTCTAGGGTTTTTGACCCCCGTTTTCTCCCCACTTCAGCCTAGTCCCCTCCCACAGCAAATGACACTCGTTGGTCCCAATTGTCGAAGGTATGCCACTTGAAAATGTCACTTAATTTCTCCTGGATTTTCTCTCTCTAGCTTTCTCAATCTGAAAAATCCAAGCTCTAGCTTGGAGGTGTCATAGCTACGATTTTTCTGAAGTTCTTAGTTTTCCTTTGAAGCTGAATTTTCCCAAAAAATTCACTTATTTTTCGTTGAAGGCTCAAAATTTTCGATGAAGTTGATTTGAAAAAGACAGACTTTGTGGATCCATGTGGAGTTTTGAGGTCTGTGAGCCATTTCTAGGGATTTGTTAAAAGAGAAAGTTTATAAGTGGAAATGTCGGGTCATAAGGCAAAATCAAAGAAGAGCGATGCGACGAAGCAGCAACGGAGAGACCCCTACGACGTTCTTGGGGTTTCAAGGAACTCTATGGATCATGAAATCAAGAGCGCCTATCAAAAAAATGGCTTTGAAGTATGTTAATTTTGATTTTTTTTTCAACTTAATTTTTTTTACAGTTTAAATGTATCTAAATTGAGCTCTGGTTTTGTGGGGCGATTGGAATATTGTATAGATTGATGTTGAGATTTGGTATATGGATAATTTTTGAGATATGACTTGGATTTTAAACTAATTTTGATATGTTGTCCACATTTTTGTTATGAATTTTTACTCTGGGTGCTGAAAAGAGTAAATAAACTGGAATTAATACTAAATCTACTGTTTGGTATTCTTTTGGTTTTGGCACCAATGATTTAAAAACCTCACATCCTATGAAATTTGGTAATATAGATGAAAATTGGAATCAAGTTTGAAGGTGGACAAAATAAATAATATTGCCTCATTGACTTTAGATTAGATAGGAGTGAAGGGTAAAATTATAATTTAAGTGAAAGGTAAGAAAATTTACACAAAAAACAATAATTTTTTCGTTGGCCCTGTAATATACAAAAATACTTTCCAAAGTAAGGATTGAATTACACAATTTTATTATTATCCTGTCCATATCCCTCCGACTTGGGTTTTCATTGGATTGGTTTAGATTAAAAAACCAATCCAATCCTATCCCTCACATATTTGTCAAACACCCCCATAAAGTTTCTTATAAGTTTTTCATCGTAAGTGATGTGATACAATTTTTATGGTTGAATATTAATGGGACCCATTTATTTAATAGTAAAAATATTGCCAAATGAAAAATTTGTTAATATTTGAACTATAAACGTTTGAATTATGATTTGTCCATGTTACCACTTGAGTTACCCGGTTCATCGGTACACAGCAGTTTATTTATTATTTTCTTTTTCTTTTTTTGAAAATTTTTTAAAAAAAAAACACTGAAAATGGGTGAAAATCCTTTGGGACCACCATTTTTAAGGTACAAAAGCATAGCACGCCTGAGTGGTCCAAACAAACAGCACATAAAAACCATACCACTCCACCACATAAAAGGCCAGCCCACCCCCCCCCCCCCCCCCCTCCCCCAAACAAACCTTCACCACCACGTGCAGACAGGTGTCGGCACCACAACTTTATACGACAATATTACTGTTGAATATTATTTTATTAGAAAATATGTTTATTATAAAATTTAATCTCGAGAACCCGAAATATTGGGCTATATTATATATGGCCACCTGGCTTTTATGTTTCAATTTTATTGCCTGTTTCATTATAATTAATGAAAAATTAGAAGAAAAGAAAGTGAAAGAAATACATTTTTTATTCTCAGACGAAATATGTTTTCGCTCTTCATTTGTGTTTTTGTAGGAAGGGTGAAAAATAGGACTTGCATTTTTCCGTTTGGTATGATCGAAAAAAAAAAGAAAAAAAATAAAATAAAATCCTCTTTTAGCCATAAATTTTATGACGAAGATTATTCAATAAGTTGTGGTCAATGTGAAGATTTTTAGTTGTGAATAACCTATCGAGGTACATTTTTACAAATTACATTAGAATATTTATTATTTATTTCTAATAAAATTGGTAAAATAAATTTAAACTTGTCCCATTATGTGTGTAAAAATTCTAATCAACTCATCAAATAATTATTTTATTTTTATTTATAATCGCATAATGATTGAGTAAACTAAATTTTCATTTGAGTTTCATGACACGAATAATTTTAACCTCAATTCATCAAGTAATACAACAATTGTAGTGCAATATATGTCTAATTTCATCAAATAACTCAAACATCACTGCTCAATTTTTAAATATAATTTGAAGATAAAAAAGTAAGTATCTATCGAAAACTAGTCAAAATGGATTTCATGGATGAACTGTAAATTTAGGCGTCTTAAATTTAAATCTCGACAATTCCTTGAGATTAGATTATGATGAATTTATTTCTTATAAATATTATAAATTTATGCGTGGATAACTTGCCTTTAACCAAACCGATGAGAGAATTAATTGAGGTGTACACTAGCGGCATGAAAAAAATGATACATGTGTATTTTACATTAAAATATTATTCACCATAAAAGTTATTTATAATAAAATAGAGTCTTATTGGAGGAGTTAGAAAAATAAAGAGTTCTATTAGAGACGTTCTTAAACCTAAAAATTTGACTTAATTTACTAACTTAATGATGTGATTTCATTATAACTATTAGATTAATATTAAATTTCAATGTTTGATGGGACACACGATCAATCCAACAGTTATAGTGAATTAGGTCAATATATTATTAAATCAATAAATTATATCATAATAATATTACTCCTTTTTTATTGCAGGATTCTAAGGAAGACTTGTTGAATTTTAATTTTAATTTCTATTAAAAATTGTATTTTTAATTATTATAATTTTTTGTATTAAATTATGCCTAAAAGCACGAACAATTTTTAGTTTATATGTATATATATATCTATAATATAAAATATAACTTATTTTAATAAGTTCATCCGACGGTCTCAAATAAACTCATCAAACTGTCACTAATATCCCTCTCAAAATCATTCACATTATAATATAATTTTAGATACGAGTTAATTTAGTACGCGTGTGTTTATATACATATATAACTAGCCAATAGTTATTGCATGTCATGGTTACTTTCCAAGTCTGATTCCAAATGAAATAAACATTAAGTCCTGCCTAAAAGTAAGACAGGACTGCCCATTTATGTTGCCTGCAGTTGCTATTCACCTGGTCTTTTTATTTTGCACCTTTGGTCATTTGCTCTATTTTTTTTTTAGTTTCATTTCTAATTTTAATTTTTTTTATTCTTCCACCTTCTCTTTGTGTCAAAATATACTCCCCCATATGGGTTAATCTAAGCATCTATAAATGTTAAAAATTCAACTTTTGACTTTTCTGACAAAAATCAAGATAACTCAGATAAAAGAACTCTTCGGATACTAACTTAAGATTTTATTTTTATGTGATTATACTAATCCTAAGTTTAGGTTGTAGTTACGAGTTTAAAGAACGTGTCGTTAGGACAAGTATGGGCTAAAAAAATCAACTCCAATTCAATATCAAAACATTATCAACAATGCTATATACATCCCCACTTTTTTGCACTACTTAATACGGACAATTATATTAGTGGTGCTATTGAATTTATTAAATATTTGATGATTATGATCACGTAATGTCATGTGATGTAGATGAGATGATGCACAAAAGTAGCGCACATATTGTTATTGAAACATTATTCATTAATGCTACTTGGTTTATTTATAGATTTAATTTGAGATCAGAATATAGGAAAATATTTAACTTAAATGAATATATAGTGCATGATCGAAATGAATAATGAAGACAAACTTATATAGTCGACTTCAAATATTCATAAAACAATAGATCAAAGTATAGGCAAAAAAAAAAAAAAACCAATTTCACACCATGCTAAGTGAATGAATTTGTACTTTTAAAATTAAATTATTCGTGTTTGATAATAATTTAATTTATTTATACGTTTTGATATTAGGTTATATTATATTTAAATTAATATAAATAATTAACCAATCATAACTGATTAATTTTATATAAAGTAAATCTCTGAAATACAATAAGCCCAACCAACCTAAATATAACATTTAAGGGTCGTTTAGTTGCGGTACTAAAAGTTGGATTATAAAATCATAATAGATTAAAATTTTCTAATCTAACATAATATAACATTTAGTTTCAAAAAATACTATGTAGTATATATAGTCTAATTTCAAATTCTTATCTAAATAATATATTATATTCGTACTATTAAGTCGATTATAATCTAATTCAAGCACATTAAGTTATAAATTTATTATTCTACTAAATACATAAACAAAAACATTAATAATTATATTATTATTTTATTATTCAATTTTTAATTCAGTGTCTTATTAAATATTGAATTACAATAAATAATAATTTTATTATATATTTAATTATATATTTTATTCACTTGTGCAAAATTATACTTCATTATTTCATAGAGTCCATTCTTTTACGATAATGAAATCAGCCATTACGGTATTTGTTCCGAGTCGAATGATGAAGGCAGATTAGGTAAGGAAGACTGTCTGAGAGAGACTGAGAGAGAGAGAGAGAGAGAGAGAGAGAGAGAGAGAGAGAGAGAGAGGGGACCACTGGCCCATGTGATGAAAGAGACGGCTCCCATTTTTGAGAAAAGTAAGAATACTCCCAATCACCACCACCAGAGCCTTAAAATCATCACAGACCTATGCGTTGTCAACGTCTCATTGCTCCAATTCATTCACCATAGATGTTGACATGTTTCAATTTTCTTGTACGGACGCCGCGTTTTTCATAGCTCAATATTTCCATATTCGATCATCTCCATCTCCATCTCTTTTTTTATTTTATTTTCTGACCACACACCTAAATAGATAATTTCCACCCAATTTTTATTTTTTTTTCATTTCTTTTCCTTTTCCACATCCCTTGTTTTTCTTTTTTGGGTCTGCTTTGTGGGGTTTACCAAAACAAGCAAAGGATGAGGTTTGCCTAAAAAAAATAGTATTATTTTTTCTTTGGTGGGGACTTCCAAGAATTTGAGAAAAAGTTAAGAGAGAGAAACAGATCGTTGATGAATAAGGAAAGGTGTAGAGTTGTGTGAGAGAGGGTCTTTGCCCTTTCTTTTGATCATAAACCCATAAAAGGACTAGGAATCTATCAATCACTACACCTACTACTGCAATTACCTTTCTGGGTTTTTTGCATTCTCAAACATAGATCAGATCTGTTTCTTTCCCTTTTTTAGGCCTGTTCTTCCTCACTTCTACACTACATCAAAAAGCTTCTCTCCAGTTTTGGCCAATTCTGTAAGGTTTCTTGTTCCACCCGAAAATATTATTCATACACTTGTTTTTTTTTTTACTTTTATATGTGTTCTTGAAAACTCTTTATAAATTGTTGTATTGATGAAACTTCTATAGTGTTGTGTGTTCGATTTCTTCCATGTCTTTATATTAGTTGATATTCATGGGGTTTTAGTTTTCTGGGTATTCTGGGTTTTTCTTCCCTCTAAAAGACATACATATCAGATCCGCTTCTTCCCTTTTCTAGGCCTGTGCTTCATCACTTCTGCACTCCATCAAAAAGCTTCTCCCCATTTTTTTGCCAATTCTGTGAGTTCTCTGGTTTCACTATATGCAATTACTTATCTTCCTGTTTGTTCTCTTATACTATGTCGTACAAATTCTTCATAAGTTGTTGCATAGGTGAAGCTTCTGTGGCGGTGTGTGTTTGATTTTCTTGCATATCTTTAAATGGGGTTCATGTTCAGTGGCTTGAGCTTTATGTTTGATATTTGGGTATTTGTGTGTGTGTGTAATGTATAGGTGGTAAAATGGTGAGAGGAAAGACTCAGATGAGGCGTATAGAGAACGCCACAAGCAGGCAAGTGACCTTCTCCAAGAGGCGAAATGGGCTGCTAAAGAAAGCATTTGAGCTATCAGTTCTTTGTGATGCTGAGGTTGCTCTGATTGTCTTCTCTCCTAAAGGAAAGCTCTATGAATTTGCCAGTTCAAGGTATGACTCATGTGTCTATATCTTAGTTAATGGGTAGTACATCTTTTTCTGTTTTAGTTTCTTCACTTTTTTGGTAGGGTTTTACTGATCTATTTTTGGTTCTTGTTGTGGGTCTAATCTATACCATGTTGGAGAACCCACATATGTACTGATCTGAGTTTTGAGGTTAAGTATTTTGGGTTCGGTTTGAATCCTACTTGTATATGAGTCAAAATTCTGACATATGATGCGTATGTAGGGGTATATTTACACCTGGGTTTTATGATACTTTACACCTTCTAGGGTTCTGTATCAGATCTGGTCTGTTGTTATTGTAAACCAAAATTTGTTAACTGTAGAGATCTCTAAGACGCTTTTTGCAGTTCTTAGACCCTGCGTTCCTGTTCATGCATAGACGGAAACCCTAAGATAGAGTGCAAGGTTAGGAAAGAGAATTGTTCAAATACATCCTTTTTTTGGCCAGTTTCATTTTAATAACTCTATTGAAACAACTGTAAAAAGTGTACTTTTGGACATTATTAAATGGAAAATGGGGATGTCTTCATGGGTTTTTCCCTTGTTTGGTGCATCACAATATATCATACAAGCTTAACTTGGAATTAGTTTCAATATTCTCAACATGTCAAAGGCAAAAACTTTAAGGTTTCTTTAACTCTAACATGGATTAACACATCATATGTGTAATTCATAAATTGATATAGCACAAGAACCCAGATTCCACATACTATAATATAGTCTAATCTCTGCTAAAGTAGAAAAATTTGTACTCCTTGGTACTTAAGTGGAAAAAAGTCTGTTTAAAAGGTAAAGAGTAAAGACTGAGATTGGAGGCCAGTTGGCCAATGTAGTACTTATGTTCTGTTCTCTGTCTTGTGCCCAACGGCCATACTCTTGAACAGCTCGCTCTAGGGTAGACCCATAGAATCTTTTGGCAGGATTCTTGTACTGGAGTTGATCTTCCACCGTTGTTGGATCTCAGATCACAATGGTGCTCATGCATAGTTCTGTGTCTAAAAGCAAATTCTCCGTTTACTTATTTAATGTTTGGTGCGAGAGTATCCATGTTTTTTCACTTCAAATGTCCATCAAGAGTGCCTGTAGGATTGACAATGCATGTACTTGTGTTGGGTTTGTGTATTGTTTCAGTAAAATATGGTGTCAGAATTTTTTCAAATCATACCCCTTCTATAGTAGGTTTATAATTGTAGATTTATAATCGTTTACAACCAAGTTTGAGTCATTGGATTCCTGGTTAGGTTCGTGGTGTGCTTAATTAGAATCATGTCACCCACTGAAAATAAATAAATAAATTATATATATATATATATATATATTCACATCTTGTTTTATTTGTTGTTGCCTTATTCCAGCCATGTTACCTGCTATTAGAATCATAGTTATTTGTCTCATCATAATCACGCTTTAATGTTTTATCTACTAGTCTATTATGATCATATTTCTGTACCATTTTCAGCATAACTGTTCTTATTGTAAGGATATGCTGTACATTCTGCACAAGAATTTGTATACGAGTAAATGTTATTTGAATCTAATCACCTCTAATTCACTAATATGCGGAGTCCAATATGGGATAGAGTTCACAGTGCTAATATCGTTTGGACAATAAATTAAATCAACTAATTAGGTCAAATGATAAGGCTTAAGTAACATCATTGTTTGTACTTTAAGTGATATGCAGTCATTTATAACATCTGTTTGTAACTCATCACAGCAACTATGACCAAACTTGAGATGGTTTTCCCCTTATAATAAATGTGTTTTATAGGTACTGGAAGAATGTTCATAAATACAAAGGAAATAAGTAGTTAGTTTACAAGTTTGTTGGTTTCAGCCTATCACTTGGCTTGACTCCAATGTTGGAACCTGACTGTCTTATCTCAGATTATGATTTTCTTTCTAGAACATAGGACGGAAATTGTAGAAAATTATCGTAAACTAAACGTTACTAAACCTTTTTTTATGTCTTCCTGATAGATGAAAGCAACATTAAAAGGAACCAAAGAGGCGTAACCCATGTACCAAATGTAAACTAGATGTTATAGTTATGGATATCTCATTGTAGGAAAGAAAAATATGTGAGCCATGAAAGGAATAGCATGAGATTCCCCAATAGAATAAGTATTGTTGGAATTATTCCAATCTAATTCCATGATTTTGAGATCATTTTGCATTAGGCAAGAGGCTTATATTCATTGCAATTAAACTCTATGAAAGCATTATGGAAATAGAAGTGGAAACTGAGCACTCGAACTAATTTTTTTGGATCAACTTGATTACAACCATAGTCGACTTGGACTCTTCATTCGTTTGCCTACCACAACACTACATTACATATTTTATTATATTCTAGACATAACTACTAAATTGACATGAACACGGTGCTTTCTCCACTATACATACAATTGCTAATAACGTCACGATACATATTCTATTATGTGATACTTAGCACACCACTAACACACATTGTCCTCCACTATGCCCACACATTCCCCTAGCACGTACTAATCTAAGTCAATTTAATAGTAAAATGAAACTCCTAAATAAAGTTTACATTATAGCACCCTCTTATTGTCACACACAAGACCTTCTAGGATAGTTTTTCTAAGAGATTATAATGCTAAGAAAAATACAATTGGTCAAGTTTTTAAGCTTTGTTTGAGCAGGTGAAATTGCTAGAGATGCATATTTATAGGAGGTGAAGCACCAAGATATTTCAATCATCACATGCCCCTTTAATTAAATTGGGAAAAGGTGGGTACAATAGGCTGAAATCTTGGGGGTTTCTATTTGCAATAAAAGCGAGTAAAAAGTAGAAAATTTGCAAAACAGTCCATATGAAGGGGAATGTGAAAACAATTGATTACTACATTAGGCTCTTCGGTGGATAAAGCATAGTAGGTAGAAGAAACTACTCTTTGTAAGACTTGGGGATAAAAAGCTTAATGTTCTACAAACTTCCTCTCTTATTAGAGAAATTGAGGCAGATGCGATCAAGCATCTACTATTTTCCTTTAATGACATGAAGGTTCCAGGTCCAGATGGTTTTAATTCTTATTCTTCAAAAGGGCCTGGTCAGTCATAGGTAGTGAGGTGACCATATCTGTCCAACAATTCTTTTAAAGGGGTAGTCTCTTGAGGGAAATAAACTCCACAAGTATAGCTTTGGTTCCCAAAGTCCCTAACCCCTTATCTATGGGAGACTTCAAACCCATTTCTTGTTGCAATGTTCTTTACAAGGTTATTTCCAAAATCTTGGCCAACAGGATCAAGCTTGTGCTACATGACTTGACCAATTCAAATCAGGTTGCCTTTATTCCGGGGATGAAGATTAGGGAAAACATATTGCTTACCCAAGAGTTAGTTAAGGATTAACACAAAAATAATGGTTCCCCAAGATGTATTGCTAAGGTTGATATTATTAATGCTTATGATACCATTGACTGAGAATTTCTTATGGATGCTTTGGTTGATGCATTTTTCCAAAGTTCTAGGGGGCTTAGACAAGGAGATCCTCTCTCTCCTCACCTTTTTGTGTGATGGCCATGGAGGTTCTTAATGCCATCATCTAACCCCTCTTTCAAATACCACTGGAGATGCAAAAGCTGAAAATCACTCACTGGGTCTTTGCTGATGATCTTTTGCTCCTCAGTCATGGGGTTGCTAACTTGATGGGTATTCTAAGCTAACCCCTCTAAGAGTTGCTTATTCATGGCAGTACCCGAGGAGGTAACTGGCTTAATTATTGGTAGAATAGGTTTCCTAGAGGGTTCTATTCCCTTCAAATACATGGGTATCCTTTTGGTAACTTCTACACTCAAGTCATCATGTTGCAGCCCCCTAATTGAGAAGATTGAGTCCAAGGTGAGGAGTTGGACCAACGAACTCCTGTCCTTTGCTAGGAGGTAGCAACTTACTAACACTGTTGTTCAGTATAGTTACTTACTTTCTGGGCCTCCAATTTGAGTATTCTTCAGCAAGTAATGGACAAGGTGGAGAGCATCATGAGATCTTTTATTTGGAGTGGGAATGTACTTAAAACAGCTCATGCTAAGGTAGCTTGGGAGGAAGTACGGTAGCCTAAAAAAAAGAGGTATAGGTATAAGAAGATTAAGGGATTGCAATTCTGCTTATATGACTAAGCATCTATTGCTCTTGTTCACTGATAAAGAGATCCTTAGGGCTAGATGGATCCATGCATATCACCTCAGGGGGAGAAGTTTATGGAGGTCAGACCTCCCAAAAAATGCTTCTAGAATTGGCTTAACGTATTGAAACTTAGAGACTCCATTAGATCCCTTATACTCCATACCATTGGAAATGAGGAGAACATCTACCTTTGGTACGACTCTTAGCACCCTCTTGATCTTTTGTTTGGAAGGTGGAGTAGTGAGGGGCAACATACATGAATCTAACTTGCCAAAAGAAGCAAAAGTTAGATTCATTGTTCAAGACAACCAATGGCAATGGCCTTAATCTACCTCCCTAGAGAGCTTTTGGAGATTGCTCGTTCAATGCCCACTTATGTCCTAAACCTGTTAAGGGAAGATGTTTTCAAATAGTCTCCTACCCCCAACGGCCTCTTCTCATCGGCCTCTGCCTTGAACCATTTGAGATCTCAAACCCCAATTGTCCCATGGCACCAACTGGTCTAGTTCAGTCAAGCCATCCTCCGAATGAAATCATGCTCTAGTTGGCTATTTAGAATTAGGCTCAGCACAAAGGACAGGACACAAATGTTTGCTCCTCAATTGGAAACTGACTGCACCCTCTGCAGACTATTCAATGATTCCCACATTCACCTTTTCTTTGAATGCCGGTAATCCCACTACATTTGGTTCCACTACCTGGTTTCAAGTTTTGGCCTTTACAATTGGTAAATAGAACGTAAGTCGATGTCTAGAGTACTCCAGAAGCTCAGTCTTCTGGTGACTGTTTATTATATAGAGGAACTCCAGGTTACATTCCAATAAAACTAGGGACTACAAAGGATGTGTTTGGTTTTGTTCTTAAAATTTCAAAAAGACTAAAAACCTGTTTGTTTACCATTTTTATTCTCAAATTTTTGGGGAAAAAAAATGAGAATTAGAGCAAAAAAATAGAAAACAAGTTAAACTTATATTTAGAATTTTTTTTTTTGAAATTTTGGAAACACGGAGACGAGCTTTGCTCATTAAAGTGGTCTGCCCTTTGAACCTTCTTAGCAGCAATAAGATCCTCCTATAAATGGTATTTTTTTTGCCTCATGTCTCTCTCTCTCTCTCTACTTTGGCAAAACTAAAATAAAGGAACGACAACACTCTCCGACGACTTTGTTTTCTCCGGCGAAAGGATCTTCTTCGGTGATTGCAAATCGTCTTCTCCGACGATTAGGAG